TGTGGTCTAAATATATATCATGCTTAAACTTAGCACAAAACATAAGGAAATTTGATTATTTCTTTGCTGTAACAATCCTTCTTGGCAATAAATCTTATATGGCTGGAAAACCTGAAGTCAGAAGTTTGCTATTAAAAGGTATCCTTTAAATATCTATGGGTTCTGGTTCTGGTCTCATCCCTAATCATAAACCTTCATTATCATTACAGGGTGGCTGTCCCTCTCAGTATTGATGATATCGCTAAGTTTGGTGAGAGTTCCCGGGAGCTCTTCATTAAGTCCAGTAGCTACAGTGTTATTACTGTTGCTGTGATTGATTCTGGGCCAACTATAAGCTGGATGTTTTCCTCCGAGCCCAAGAGCATCTTCTTCAGTGTGGTTTACCGGGAGTCCACTGACACTCCGGTGCAACAGTCAAAGGTACAGTTAACTTACTGTGAGCTCAGGAAATCTCTGTCTACCTTTTTTTTATATAGCCTCTTGTGTAGAGGCCTAAACACTGTGAGCATGTGTTGATGTGCACATCTTGTAAGTCTGCCACTGGCAGCGTCCATAAAAGCAACTGTTGCAGATTACATCATTTTAAATGGAAGGAAATCGCAAACCTGCATGAAAGGCTTTCCGGTTGTTGCCAAACTCAAATACCCCACACTCACAGGTGATGATTTCAAAGCAGAAGTTATCACCAGACCCAGTGTGTGCTTTCATGGTCACCCCTACAGACTGCACGGTCTTTTTGCTTTATTTTTCAAACATTATTGACTGAAGAAAACCACTGCAGGAAGCCATTGTTGCTCAGCAGGGTGAGCTGCACATTCTTTACTTAAAATGTCAGAGGTTTTAAATGAGTTGTGACCTTTCATCTGGCGTTCTATCAACTCCCTCCCTTGTCGGTATATCCTGATGTTTGTTTGTTTGTTTTTTTAATTTGATTTGGTTCAGTTTTGATGACCGTCGTATGCTTTATTTATATTTGTTATGAAAACCTGCGGCAAATCTTTCACCTGTGCACTGAGATTATTTTTAAAGGCCTGTTTCTGTTCTGTTCTCAGGTCCTGATTCCTCTCACTCGCTGCGTTTCCCATAAAGAAACCATTCAAGGACAGCTGAAAGTTCGGCATCCTGGTCTCTACACCCTTATCTTTGACAACTCTTTCTCTCGGTAGGTCACGATAGTTTAGAACAGTTTGTTCCTCTTTTTTTGCAGAAGTGTGTAAATTACAGAAATGCCATTATGTTTGCCAGCATTTGTGTTTGGCTTTTATGTAAATTTTTAAATTTCTTTTCAACCAAAACTATTCTTCAACAGGTTTATCTCCAAGAAGGTTTTCTACCATCTGACCATGGAGAAGTCCATAATCTACGATGGCAGCGACTGCCCATGAAACTCTCTCTCACTCTGTCCCCAGAGACGTCATCCTGATGCCACTGTCAAACCTAAAGGAGAACTGACATTATGGCTTATCACTGACCACTTCCACTTTTGTTTCCAAAACCAAGTATATTATTCCAAAAAATGCTCTTTACCACTTTAACAGTGCGGTGTTGGTGTTTTGAGGTATGTTTATTGGTAAACTGTGGCCTATGCAATATTGTCAAGAAAGGTTTTAGAAGGAAAAATATCTATGCAACTTTTAGGGTATTTAAAAAAAATACATGCACTAAGTAATATTCATGGCTTTAGTTCAAGTATATTTAGTTAATTAAGCTGGATTTTTTTGGGGGGGTTTGCCAAGTTTGGTAGTTTTAGTTTTGCTTCTGTTTTAGCAAAAATGTTGTTGTGTTAAGGAACGAAGGTCACCGCAAGTAACACTAATATGACATTTGATAAGATTGTTCAGAAGCAACAAATACTTTACTATAAAAGTTGTCTATGAAGACAGAATGATTTTCTTTTCTTTTTTTTTAAAATACAATTTGTGGTTATTTTTAAATGTTTCGTGCAATCTTTATGGTGCAAACCATTGGTTCACTTTGTCACTTTTTTGAACACTGTGGCAAGAAAGAAGCGAAGCAGAAATGTGTTTAGGGGCCTGGAAAAAGCAGTTACTGCTCCACAACATGCCATAAGCACTTTGTGCAAATCTCAGGAGTTAGAAATGCAATTGTCCTTTAGGGGATGCGTGCCCCATTTTATGTTTTTGAAAAATGTATTTTTAAAAAATAGAAGACTGCCATTTTGCTCTCTTTGTATCCAGGTTATGGAATAAGATGAAGTATATCTTCCCAATTAGTTTGTTTTATAAATTACTTGCAAATTTTTATTTTAATTGTGTTGCTTTTATGAGTGAACTGCAGCATGGGGACGGGTAAGTCTTATGAGGTACAAAAGAAAAAAAAAGATTGAACTAAATTTATGCTGTTTCTTCTTTGTATCAGTATCCAGACTGAGTCTTTGCATGACTCTAACTTTAAATATGTTGCTGAGTAGTAACAGGCTACTGTACTTTCTAAGTGCCTTGTAATTCTAACTGTCAGGGATGTTTGATGTTCAAATTACACATTTTTAGTTGTGTTGTCAACTTAGAACACATCATCTGGTATGAATTGATATCACTCTGTTAACTGATACTTAACTAACTTTCTGTGTGAAATGGCATCTAAGTCATGTTCTGCACATTATACTATATTTTTTATTTTATCGGTGTAAATGTCTTTTTGCTTTTTTCCCCCTTATGAATCTCTGGAATCCTTTCATCTTTGCTCTGGATGATACATTTTTTCTTGTGATGAAGTAGGATGTTCATTTCTGGTTTTTGTTTGTTTGTTTGTTTGTTTCTGAGCAAGGCAATAAGAAAAAGCAACTTTGGTCACTTTTGAACACAGCCCTACGGTCTGGGTCAAGCAAGTATGCTGCTTTTTGTAGAGGCCTGTTTCCACTATAGTCAGGTCTCTTTTTATCAGCTTTGATGGGTGTAATTGATGCAAAAACTATGCAAAGGTGTTTTCTTTACAAAGCTGCACTTTGTGAAAAATATATTTAATTTGTTACAAATTAAATGAAAATCTGTTTTTATTATCTTTTTCAACAGTGCACACAGGGACAGATTTTTCTACTAGCTGGTTTTGAATGATTACTCTGGGGGAATAAATTGTGTGGTAACCAATGCTACAGAGACTTGAGTGTAACTAAGAGACCTGTCAGACAGCCTACAAACATGAATAAAATGAGAGAAATGATGTCTCTGCACTAATCTGTGTCTGATTTAGTATTTCAAGGGAACAAGATGAGCTCTTTAACGTGTTTCTTAACATTACATCCATGTACATTTGCTTTCTGTTGTATGACCTCCAAAAACAAGAAAGTTTTTTTTCTGTGTTTGATGAGTAACTGAGTTCAAAAGCTGCTAGTTGGTTCCTCTGTTGTAAATCCTATATCCTCTATTCTGATATGGCTTTGCAAAACAAAGAAACCACAGAGTGTTTTTCTCTGTTAAAGATGAAATACATAGCTCAAAAAAATTGAAGGAACTCTGAGTCACCACAGTTTTAATTCAATTCAATTTTATTTATACAGCGCCAAATCACAACAGCAGTCGCCTCAAGGCGCTTTATATTGTACAGTAGATCGTACAATAATAGATGTTAGGAAGCAGAGACCTATGCAGCCTAATCCTTATCTCTCTTGACTGTTTTTTTCTCTATTTTTGTCTTTGATAATGTCACAGTGTAATTACTGGCTGCGTGAAATGGTACAGGCAGCCCATTCAGATTGCACAGGTGTTTCAGATCCCACAGGATGGCCCGTCAATATCTGCCATCACAAGAAGCTTTGCTGAGTCTTCTAGCAGAGCCTCAAGAGTGTGGAGGAGATATGAGGAGACAGGCTGTTACACTAGGAAAGCTGGGCAGGATAGTAGAAGGACATCAGCTAAGGAGTACAACCAATATCGACTCCTTTGTTAGAGAAGGAACATGAAGGGCAATGCCAGAGCCCTGCAAAGTTATTTCCAGCAGACTACACATGTCCATATTTCTGACCAAACTGTCAGAAATGGACTCCGCGGTATGACTTCCCATCCTTTACTGGGACCTGTATTACAGATGACAGCGAGTTCACACTGAGCATATGTGACAGGCATGAAATAGTCTTGTGAAACGATGGCATCTCAAGACTCCCTGTAGAGGACCTTGGGCCCTCATACCTCCCTCAGAGATTCTGCGTCTGACAGTTTAGCCAGAAACATGTACAAGTGTCCCACTGGCAAACTCCTGTGCTAGTAGTCAGAGAAAGCCTTGCAATGGCACGTATGGATGTGCTATACTGGAGAAGTTGGATTTCCTGTGCAATGTAAATGGGCTGCAAGTATCTCATGCTAAATCTAGAGAAAAGATCAGGAGGGATGAGGAGAGATTGTCTTCTCGTTTCTTTTCTTTTCTTTTTTGCAAGAAAACGTGATACAAATTATCAAGAAAACTTGAATAGAATAACCTTGAAGTTTAACTGACTTTGTGTTTATACTGTAAATATTAGAGCTTCCCTTGATTTTTTTAAAATTTATTTTATTTTTTAGCAATGTACAATTGCAATGTACTAAGTTTTTTCTCTCTCAAAACAAAAAACCTTAAGACAGCTTGATATGAGACACGCTGTCCAACTACAGTACGCAAGTGATATTATCAAAGCACACATTTATGCGTATTTGGCGACCCAGCCTGGCTCTGGAAGGCAGAGGAGCACAGCTCTAACTGCATCTGAGCTGTGAAGCTTGCAGCTGAAGCTGGGAACTGATGCTGCTTTTCAAAATAAAAGACAAGAACGATATGGTCCAAATTCGCCACACGTACCTGATACAGGTCAGTCTCCCCTATTCCTGCGTTATTGGCGTTGTTGTTGTTTTCATGGAGATGTGTGAAAAGTTGTTTATCCACAAGCATTACATACGAGAAGCCCAGGGGCGAGGCTTTTATTGTGAAAATGCATCCCGGAATCCCTACATTTATATTGTTGCCATATTGATAAAAGTATTTACACCTGGAAAGAGCGCAGCATCCCGTCCTCTTGCTGGAGAGTGTCTCAGGAAAGCAGTTTGGACTCAGCGGAGAGAAACCTACTGAGCGGACGACATGTACAGTGTCCGAGGGATTTTCCTCACTCTGTGTTTGGCTCCAGCTGTGAGTGTCTTTACTTTGACTGCATGTTTGTTGGGTTGTTTTTTTTTTTTAAAGAAAAGTCATGATGAACTATTTTTATTAAGTAATAATCAGCTGAAAAGCTTATAAGTCCAGAGATAATTCTATTATTAAATAAATGTGTCTGAAGCAAAGCAGCAAGAAAACAGTGTAATTACACGGCTGAAGCGCATCAGCTCCAGGTCATGTTTTTAAACATTTTCTCTGACTGTGCAGATTGCATGATTTGGACTGCATTACTTAAAAGAAAAGCACATCGGTAACAAATCAATCCGCCTTTTTGAGCTTCTGTGTCTGTTTCCAGACAATTGTTCTTCACAGAGGTTTAAAGTATTTATTTTTCTGACGTGAATGTACACACTGATATACTGCGTTTCAGCTGCACACTGAAGGAGTTGAAATATTGTCACAATGTTAATGTACTGCTGTTGCTTTAAGACTATAGATTACAGAGAGCATCACGGATTACAGTCAGGTACAGTTTTAGGTGCCTGATGCAAATATCATAGCAATTCATTGTATTTAGGCATGTAGACATGGTCAGGATGACCTGCTGAAGTTAAAGCCCAGCTTTAGAATGAGGAGCAAAGGTAATTTAAGTGTCTGAGGAAGCAGGGTTGTTGGTGCCTGATGGCTGGGTATGTCAGAAGCTGCTGATCTGCTGGTATTTTCTCACATATCAGTCTCTAGGGTTTACAGAAAATGGTCCAAAAATGAGAAAATATCCAGTGAGCAGCAGCTCCCTGGGTGAAAGATTCTTGTCAATACCAAAGGTCAGAGGAGAATGGTCAGTTGAAGAAGAGGAAACTGAGGCTACAATTCGACAGCCTCTTTAAAATTGGACAACGGAAGATTGGAAAAACATTGGCTGGTCTGATGATTCTCGATTTCTGCGGCAGCATTTGGCATAAACGACATGAGAGCATCCAGCCTTGTATCAAACACTTGGGGCCCCTACATAGCCTACCTGAGTATTGTTGCTGACCATGTCCATCCCGTTCTTGTTGCTTCCAGCAGGATAAAGCACTGTGTCACAAAGCTCAACTCAGAATGTTCTCCTGAACATGACAGTGAGTTCATTGCACTCAAATGGTCTCCACAGTCACCAGATCTCAATGCAGTAGAGAACCTTTGGGATATGGTGGAATGGGAGATTGTCATTGTAGATGTGCAGCTAACAAATCTGCAGCATATGTGCGATGCTATCATGACATCACACATTTTTGCCTCAACACAGAACTAGCAAGGTGTAACTACTGAAGTGGCCAGTGAGTTTATATGTGCTTATGTGCGATTATGGGTTTAATATGGATAAGATGGAGGATTTCTGTGTATCTCTGTATATGAGTGGATGTTGTACATGTATTTATGGGCGAGAAAGTCAAACCTTTTCTTTTTCCAAATGTGAATATTTGCCAGTTTTCTTAGTTTTCTCTGTCTTTGGTCTGCCACAAAATGCCACATTCTAGACTTGCTCAGCATTTCCAAACTACAGGGTGGGCCATTTATATGGATACACCGTAATAACATGGGAATGGTTGGTGATATTAAAGTCCTGTTTGTGGCACATTAGTATATGTGAGGGGGCAAACTCCTCAAGACGGGCGGTGACCATGGTGGCCATTTAGAAGTCGGCCATCTTGGATACAACTTTTGTTTTTTCAATAGGAAGAGGGCCATGTGACACATCAAACTTATTGGTAATGTCACAAGAAAAACAATGGTGTGCTTGGTTTCAATGTAACTTTATTCTTTCATGAGTTATTTACAAGTTTCTGACCACTTATAAAATGTGTTCAATGTGCTGCCCATTGTGTTGGATTGTCAATGCAACCCTCTTCTCCCACTCTTCACACACTGATAGCAACACCGCAGGAGAAATGCCAGCACAGGCATCCAGCATCCGTAGTTTCAGGTGCTGCACATCTCGTATCTTCACACCATAGACAATTGCCTTCTGGATCCATCCAATGTGGGTTAGTGTCAGACCAATAGCGGTGGTTTTGTTTGTTAACTTCACCATTCACATAAAAGTTTGCCTGATCACTGAACAAAATCTTCTGCGTGAACTGAGGGTCCTGTTCCAATTTTTGTTTTGCCCATTCTGCAAATTCTGTGCGCCGATCTGGGTCATCCTCGTTGAGATGCTGCAGTAGCTGGAGTTTGTAAGGGTGCCATTTGTGAGTAGCTAATATCCGCCGAAGGGATGTTCGACTAGTGCCACTCTCCAGTGACATGCGGCGAGTGCTACGCTGTGGGCTCTTGCTGAATGAAGCTAGGACAGCCACTGATGTTTCTTCATTAGTGACAGTTTTCTTGCGTCCACATTTTGGCAAATCCAACACTGAACCAGTTTCACGAAACTTAGCAAGCAGTTTGCTGACTGTAGCATGGGAGATGGGTGGTCTCGTAGGGTGTCTTGCATTGAAATCTACTGCAATGACCCGGTTACTGCGTTCACCAGATATCAACACAATTTCGATCCGCTCCTCACGTGTTAACCTCTTCGACATGTCAATGGCTGTGAACAAAGAGAAACTTGTAAGTAACTCATGAAAGAATAAAGTTATGTTGAAACCAAGCACACCATTGTTTTTCTTGTGACATTACCAATAAGTTTGATGTGTCACATGGCCCTCTTCCTATTGAAAAAACAAAAGTTGTATCCAAGATGGCCGACTTCTAAATGGCCACCATGGTCACCGCCCGTCTTGAGGAGTTTGCCCCCTCACATAGACTAATGTGCCACAAACAGGACTTTAATATCACCAACCATTCCCATGTTATTACGGTGTATCCATATAAATGACCCACCCTGTAGTTTGAACAATATAGCTTTCTTTACATTCTGTATATTCTGCATAAAACAATTCAGTCTTAATTTGATTAAAGAAAAAAATAGATTGATGATGATAATGAAAATAACAGTGTACCATTGCACTGAACACTTGTCGTTTTTGGTGCTATAGTAAGTATAACAAACAGTCAGGTAGTAATTGATGGAAACATGTATATATTGTGTTGCTGGTGTATTTAAGGGACTAAGTACAGTATATTCAGAATCAGAATCAGAATACTTTATTGATCCCTGGGGGAAATAATTTTTTGTTACAGTGCTCCATTATAAACCAACATTAAGACAAGACAGACAATACGCTAACTAAGAATAGTACAATATATACATATATATATATACATACATAAGTCACTCATAAATAAATAGTTGGAAAAGAAACATGTGTAGCTGTAGCAGTAAACAGTGTGTTAAGTGGATGCGTTGTACAGGGAGATGGCCACAGGCAGGAAAGATTTCCTGTGTCGTTCAGTGGTGCTTTTTGGTAATCTCAGTCTCTCACTGAACGAGCTCCTGTGACTGACCAGCATGTCATGGAGTGGGTGGGAGGTGTTATCCAACATTGTCTTTATCTTGGACAGCATCCGCCTCTCCGACACCACCTTGAGGGAGTCCAGCTCCATCCCCACAACATTGCTGGCCTTACGGATTAGTTTATTAAGTCTGTTGGCATCTGCGACCCTCAGTCTATTATATTATCAGATAATATATTATTATATATTATCTGATTTATCATAGTCACCACTAAAATTATCTAGTGAGATCAAAATAACTGAGTGACTTTTGTTTGCCAGTATTATTATAAATTATTTACTCTGTGTTTAGTGCTCAATTTGTTTTGTCTGGTCAACTGTGAAGGAGCAATACAGGCAACAAACCATACACACATCTGCGCACATTCATATGCCAACACTTCTTCTTTCCTAATCAACAGATTTTATGGGGATATTATTATAGGGCCACCTCGCTAATTTCCATAACGGACTAGAAATATGAAAAGCAGACAAACGGGTGGTGTGATGCTCAGTGTGGCAAAGAGAGAATGGGAACAGGGCAAACACTCATCCCCGTGTACCTCTTCATTCTCTTTCGCTACTCAGGACTGCTGAGAATCATAATGAACTACACACACACACATAGACGCACACAATCACGACAAACAAGACCAGTGCTACAGTACTGTATGGGAGGTCTGTATTCTGCTGAAAGCTCAGATATGATTGAAAATTTGCATTTTAATCAGGACGTGAGTGAAAAACAAATAGAAAGACAAAAGGGTGGAAAGGAACTCTAGTTTTGGCTGCATAGTTACATACACACATAAAAAATGTATGGCACCCCTTCTGAGGTAAACCATGTTCATTCTGCTATTAGATTGATTGCTTACGTGTAGATTTACATTCTATAAAAGAGAAGAGAAAATCTAGAACGGACTTTGTTTGATCCAATTATGCTAAACTACACCAGCTCTTTCGTTCATATCTATCTTACCTGCAAGAAAACAAAAAGGGAAAAAAAGTCAAACTGTTCCTTTCTGTTGACATAATCTGAACTTTAGAGGCTGACCTTGTTTGTTCTATCTTTCTGATTGAATGACGATGTTATGTTTTTGCACTGTGCCTGAGTACTGCGTAAAGCAGCATAAAAGTGCACCCCATTTGCTTTTGAAAATAGATGGCAGCATCTGCAAAGTGAGCCCATTCCTATGGCCCCTTTTTGGGTAGTTAGTGGATAATAGGCTTCACCTCTCAGGGAACATATTTTATGGCAGGCAGCATGCTAACCTGGCAACGCAAATGGACCACTGGCTTTGCATTTAGTTTCAAGGCTCATATTGTTCAGACTTACCTTGTGCAGCCACCCACCCATCTTTAAATCTCCCACTGTTTCTGTCTTTTAACTGCAGCATACTGTCTCCATCATGCTCTTGAAATGCATGAGCACGACATGCACCCTTGGTGCCTGTAACCATCCAGTCTTGACTTGCTGTATTCTTCACCCCCTGCATTCAAAACGGGTCTTACTTCCCCTAACCTGCACGCTACTCCTATAGAATAAATGTCCTCACAGCACCCTTTTGCATGAGAAACAGCTATTTAGTCATATTTATGATTTTTCAACAATGAATATAAATGCCCTAGAACTAATTTTACAATGAATTACCCCTGGTTTAGAAGGAAACAATTTAGCGCTATACAAACTGAAGCACAACACACTGCACAGTCTTTCTGTTTGCATTCATTATATCTGCAGAAGACAAGGGAAGCCTTTAAAAAAAAATCCCCTGCCAGCCTTTGAACGAGAAGAGTAGTAATTGTTGGGTAAAATTCACCATAACACCTCTCATTATATTATTAGCATTGCATTAGGAACAAAGAGGACTGGCAGGGATATGTATGCTCTGGTTGTTTCTAACATTTCCACGTATCATTGATGGAGGGGGGATAGTACTGAGTGCTTGCATGTTTGTTTCCACTTACTTAAAGAAAATGAAGAGGAAACACTTTTTGTGTCCAACAGTTGTCAGTGAGATTGTGTTAATTTCCAGCGAGTTTCCTGTATGTGTTTATTCTGTAGGTGGTTTTGGCATACATACTAAAGCGGTCTGTTATTTGTAAGACTATCATTATCTGTGTGTGTGTGTGTGTGTGTGAGAGAGAGATGATGAACTTGTTCACAGTGAGATGAAAATGGCTGAGATGAGTAATAGAAATGAACAGTTTCATTCCCCAAGTTTAGATATCTGTTTTTAAATAAATCATGAATTCTAAGGTACAGGTTTCTTCTTGTTTGGATAAACAACCCTTCTGTTTGCCTTTGATAAGAATCTCAAAGGCAGACCTGATCATAAATATCTTATCTAACATGTAAAACTGACACTTATTTAGTGTTTGATAGTGAGGAGATTCATAACTGCACCATTTCACCATTTCTTTAAATGACAACTTTAGAATAACACGTATATATTAGATTTTTTTTTTTTAAATCAGGTCTTTTGCTACTCATTCATCATTTTATTTTCCATTTCCAAACCAATTTTCATGTCTTTCAGCAGAATTGGTGCAACAACCCTGAAAGTCAACCAATATTTTTCAGTAAAATGAAACTGCGGTGTTTTTCCCCCCGATAATTTTACACTTCACTGAATTCAAATCAAAGCACAGGTTTATGATATTAAAAACACTGTATTTGTGCACGAGTATGCACATGTAATTTCATGAAATCACTCCTGGTGGCCTTTCAAATGAGGCTGTTTCACCTACAGAAAAACCCGTCTTTTTAAAGGCAAATGCTTGTGGCGCACAAACAGTTCATCCTATTGGATGGCACTCAGAAAGGTGGTGACTAATCAGGGTTCTCCACAGGAAGTCTTTGTCGTCCCACAGGAATTTAGCCTCTGAGGGTTTGTTTCATTAAGAGCTTGGTAGCATCTTGTCAGAAAGACACTTGTTTTCCCCTCAAGGATTTTTAAACTGAGATGGAAATGAGCTGAAACAAGGACAAAAGTCTTAGCAATATGTGTGTATCTGTAACAGATGTTTTGTGTTTTAGGGCTGTGTGACCTGCTGTCTTAATCTGTGGAGGTTAAATGGATTCAAAGTAAAGAAACAGCTCAAAGAGCTGCCCTGTAACTACTCGGCATTGGGTAGTTACAAATTGCAAGATAGGCTCAAAATGTTAAAATTAGAGGGGCGTTATGATATATTTGCCTCCGTTTTCTTGTTTTGTCCTTGTGCCATGTTTTAAACATACACACGTTTGTTTGATTATCTTTATGAGGGCATTCATTGACACAATACATTTCCTAGTGCCTTATCTTGAAGTTAACTATCACAAATAAGTGCTGCTCCCATCCTCTATCCTAACTCTAATATAAAACTAATTCTAGAATAAACTAAAAACAAGTCTTCATCTTCAACCAGTGCTTTAAAGCGGGTGTGAGAAAGTGAGGATAGGCCAAAATACCCTCACTCTGATGATTTAAGACTCAAACCAGCCCTCATAAAGATAGTTCTACTACTATAATCCGCACACACACACGAGTTGTATATCCATTAATTCAGAGAACATTATGTTTTGACTTGCTTTTATCCCCATAAGGAAAACACATCCTCATAAAGTTAAGATTAAGGTCAGCAAAACAAGAGCTGTACCTTGACCACACACGTGTAAGTCGTGTGACTTACCAGTGTTATTCCTGTGGACACGTACAGTGTCTGCAAGCGCCACACGGTCAGGTGGACTGACTCATTATCTCTTCCATCTGTGATATTTCTGCTTTAATGTTTTTCTTCTTTTATGGCAGATGCTCCAGATAATTTCCATTTCTAAATGGAAATAACCATATTGCTTTGGAATTAGTAGAGAGATTATTAAACTGAGGAATGTAGTAACTGACGTCAAGGAAGCTTTTACAGTAAGAGATTCTGTTGCCTTCATATGGTGAGGCACCATATTGAGCTATCTATGTACAGGTGGGTAGCAATAATATGAAGCACACTGTTGCAGTATCTTGTAACAGCTCAACAAGACCCCCTCTGCTGCTCTGACCTTTAGATTGAGACCACATAAGTTTGCTGGCAGGATAAAATAATGAGATATATAGATTTTTTGATTTAACCCATAGCTGTCACTGTAGCCCCCCCAAATCTACCTCAGTCACTGCCGACCATTTGCATTCCTGTAGAGAGAGAAATTGTTGTGCAGTATATTTAAAAAAATGTTCAGTTAAATTTATGTGTGCTTGTTTTGTAAGATAGATTACATAAAAAACATTAATGTTGACCCTAACTGGAGGGTCGGATGTTAGGCTATAAAATAATTGCCTATCTATGGTATGTTACCCATATCACAGAGAATGGTTTATTGTATATGTAGTGCGTTCTCAGTCCAAGGGGGTTGCATGTTGCATTTGTTCTTTGGAGTCTTTGCCCTGACTTACAGGTTTATGGCTCCCATTTTTCATTTTACAATGTGCAGGGTTACTGATATTAAAGAGTACTGCTATAAAGCAAAATGTAGCCAAAACTCTGATTGGTTAAACCTAACCAATCAGCATTTAGTGCCTAAACCATCCATCCATCCATTTACGTCCGATTATCCAGTTCAGGGTCACGGTCCATTCATCAATCTATTTTCCTAACTGCCAATTCAAGGTTCTGGGAAGCTGGAGCCTAAACCGGCTGTCATAGGGCGAGAGGCGGGATAACAGCAAAGTAAGGTGCAAAACGCAAAGCTCCAAAGCTCCAAGCAGCATGGGAACCACAATCCCCCGATGGATAAACAGTGACTTACCTCTCAAGCTGACCTTTGCAGGACTCAGCTGGACCCAGACAGCATCTGACAAAAGGATATTATTTGATGTGCCGGCATGAGAGCACATTGACCTTTTAAAAAAAAACAAAAAAAAACAACCCAACAACAACAACAATGTATTTTTACAAAAATATATTTTAGTGCAACAGATTGCAGCAATACACACAAATTCATGCACTTTAAGTTTACAGTTTCATGCCACTCTGCTGCTTTCTTCCCTGCACTCTCTACCATCCAACACTTGCCTTACATCGACCCTTTACCCCCTTATTTGTTGGGCTCCCAAAAAACATCACAGTGAAAAATTAGGACACCAATAAAAAGAAGAATGTCTGAGTCGGAGCATGGATGGATAGTTGCTCATTTTCAAACGTCTTCTGTGTGATGTATTAAAAGATATTTTTGGTAAATGCCATCAATGGAAATAAGTATGTGTTTTGTTTTGTTTTGTTTTGTTGTGTTTTAGCTAGAAAGTAAAATGAGTCACTGCTCTTTTAAAAGAAGGCGCAATTTTTTTTCACATACACGGAGTCTCTTTCATGTAATGAGACACTAACTTAGCACAGCTTATACCTCTCAGTGTACTAAACATCTCTCCCCTTGCCTTGTTTTGTACCTCTAGGCGTTCTCAAGTCTGCATCCTGAATGTGAATACATTTTTCAGCTGGAGAAAGAAGAGCGTCACTGCCTTCAGTACATTGCAGAACAGGAGAACAGAAGCACAGAAGGTGTGTTTTCCTTTTTGAAATCTAACCATCCTGTTCTCATCATTGCAACTGCTCATATGAATTCATGGGTGGTTGCAGTTGTGTTATGAAATATAGTAATGCTCACATTAAGTGCAGGGGTCTGAGCTGGAATAGAAGCTTCACAGAAAACCATCCATTATCGGGAAATATTCTTGTTGGCGTTCTAACTGCAGAATGAAAACAAACTAGGTGATATATCAATTTGATGCATCAGTAAATGAGACCAATAAGGATAGCAACATAAGGGTTTATGTATGTAATCTATCACAAGATAAGGCTTTTGCTTGGGGACCTACAGTACTTTTTTTGTCCTTATGAAATGTACAAGGAGGTGGGCGCTAGGCCGTTGAAGATTGCAGTTGGAAGCAAGCTCATGATTTACACCACTTGCTTTTACACTCTATCTATATATTTTTAACTGTGTATTTCAGATATGATTTATGGAATCTCACTGTCTTTCCTTCCGATTCAGCACTCTGATACTCACCTTTTCTAACCTTCTTTCTCCTCCTAAACCTTTGTCGAAAAGGTTGTTGGCCCTTCTGGGATGCGGTCACCTGCTGGCCTCATGCAGTTGTTGGGGAGACTGTGCACAGAGCTTGTCCTGCAGTCTTCTCCCTCTTCAGAAATAGCACAGGTGAGTGCCAGATCACATGCTGGAAACGGGCCATTATTAAGCTAAATTATTAATCCTCTGACGTCAAAGGGTGTTTTTTGTAATACTGATGTCTTCATAAAGTGCGTGTTTTTTTTCATTCGGTGATTAAATTGATCTTTTGGGCAGGCTATGAATTTGTGTTGTCACAGGAGACTGCAATCCAATTAAATTTTCACTAACAGATAAATAAGCAAGTTTGAAAGTGTGCACAGATAGTCAAACCCAAAATGAGCAAACAAGATGTACATACTCAACAGACTCTGACCACCACTAAGAGGCAGCAGCTCAGTGAAGCCATACTTACATTGATGCCCTGGGCAAAATTCAAGCGCCATATTAACTTTATGTCAAGTCGGTGAGCAGGACTTTAACTTGCGAGCGAAATCTAACAACTGAAAAAGGTTAATACAATGACAGACATGAGGTTTAAAAGGATTGAAAACATCAGCATTTTCAGACATACAGTAGCAATATCTGAAATTTGATTTATTAGGGCCCGAGCACTCACAGTGTGAAAGCCCTGCTCTAACCCCAACAAGCAAACTCCTCCTACGGATTCAGTAGGATCAACCACGTATTTGGTCAGTCCCAGCTACAGACACTGCTGGTGCTAAACTGTGAAACCATTTTGTTTCCATTAAAGGAGGCGTCTGTGGCGCCAGTCATGGTGAATGAATTTGAACACATTTGATACGTCCCCCCCAGAAACTGACATTTTTTAATAATAGTCATGTTTAACACTAGCAAATACTTAAGGAATTGATGTTGCTTTATTTTGAAAATGTAATCAATATATATGATATGATATAAACATATCAGTTTCGTTCTGTTCTTCACACTGTACAATAACATGTGAACTGTGATCATCATTAGCTGGAGGAGCCACTATGTCGTTAGTGCACTGGTTTTCTTTAAAGGGGATTAATAGCAAAAGATGGGGAATTTTTTTTACCTCTATTAAACTTATTTTCAGCTCACCAATTTCTTGAATGATTTTTAAATTTGACTGATTTCACCAGATTAGCTTGCTTTAACTAGGCTTCAACAGAATTACGCACGTATCAGGATATGGTCAAATGAAACTGCGATACAATAATGCAGATGTTTGTATTGCAGTTTTGGTGTTTTCAGAATTGTCATGCTCCTGATTACCACTGCACACAAGCTACAGTTGAGAATGTCAGTTTTGCAGATGAAGTCTAGATGATGAGTCAGGGGGGTCAGCACTAAAGTAAGAAATTTTATGACAATCCACGAGAACTTTTTCTGACATTTCAGTCTGCATCAAAATATCACACATAAATATGTAACCCTGATTATTACTAAAGTCAGTCTCAGCATTGCACAACTGACTCTTGAGCTCACATCTTTCGTCTTTAGGGTCAGTGAGCCGAAACTGTACAAGTGGAGGTTGGTCGAGGCCGTTCCCACCATACCATGTTGCCTGCAATGTGGATGATGACATCCCCGAGGTGAGAGTTGCTGAAGCGAGGCAGCTAGGGATGTCAGACTGAGGAATGTGAGACTAGATTGGGAGCACAGAGGTCAGGCAGAAAATTAGAAACAGGAGGAGAAGCACCAGGAACAAAGAGGCAACCAACAGCAATAAAGGGGAAACAAAACAGAAGGACAGAAATGCACCTGTGGAAATAAACAAAAAAAAGCTAGCAAAATTATTAACATATTCCATGTTTCAGGACACATTTGGGACTGTAGTTGAACCACTGTGCATGTTCCTACTTTTGCTTCTTTGGAGATTCAGGTACAGCTAACACATGATAATTGGCTGTATGAAAAATCATACAAATATAAACACTTTTGCAGAATGAGTGGATCTAATTTGACCCGTTGCATAATAGCTCACAAAGAGAGCATGAAGTCTTTTCTTTTGGAAAGATTCCATATTTGATGCTAAAAAGAGCATATTTTTGTATTATTATTATTATTGTTATTTTAAAAAGACGTCTTAAATGTTCCAAATAGCTGAAGTAGAACATTAGTAATTAAATGTGACAGTGTATTGTAATTAAATAGCTTTTTCATAGTAGATTTAGCTATGTGCTTAGCCAACTCTCTTTCTGCCATTAGGCTAAGACACAAAATATGGAAAGCTTTCTTGCAGTTATTCCACAGTCATCTCCTCAGTGCAGTTTAGTCTCAATCTTGCCTGTAATTTAGACTCATTTTAAGACATTACATTCATTTTGATGTCTGACATCATTTTGAAAAGCTTTGATATTTGAGTATAATTTCCTTTCATTCAAAATCTTCATTTTCATTCTGCTTCCAGATGGAGGAGTCTTACTTTGCCTCAGTGAAGCTCATATACACCATTGGCTACAGCATCTCTCTAGTGGTGTTGGCTGTTGCTGTGTTGATCCTGCTACTCTTCAGGTATAAACCGAAAATACTGATTTTTATTTAGCTTTTTGTCAGTAAAAAGCACATTTTGGGTGACATAAGCAATGGAAATAACAGCTCGAAATTCAGATGAACTGCTTTACAAAGGATGCAACTTTATTGTTCACAGAACAATAAAGTGGGATTGCTGATGGGTTCAAGGCACTCTCTTCAAGTCTGGGTTTATGAAAAACTTTTACCAGTGCCTGATACTCATCGACACTCACACAGCACATGGCAGTTTTGCAACTCTGCCACGTCTTTGTGTCCCCATTTGGAATTAGATCTGATGGAATGTGTAAGAGATAAGGGAGTTGGGAAATTTACACTCTTTGTAGGATTTAGATTACACAGCTGATAACACTGTGATGTCTGTACAGTGCATGTGGTGCCATAAAAGGCTCGTGTTGCATGAAAACTGGAAACAGATGAAATAACCTTCCTGGCTCTTTCCACATTTAAATAAGCCCACCGACCAACCCCTATCTGTTTTGTAGGCCTGACACGTGCCTTAGTCTCCTCACCAAGTCTGTAACCAAATGCCAAGACAGCGTTTTGAAAACTTATGCACCAGCTCTGTGGGTTACAGTTTGTTTGTTCCTCTTTCCAGCTGATTGTTTATGAATCTAATCTGATTGCCAGTAAATTGCTTCACGAACAAGATCACTGGCATCAGTTACATCTCTGTCTCTTTTTTATTTTTGTTCTCTGCCACTCACATTTTTCTTTGTTCACTGATCAAAACTATGAACTAAAACCACAGACTGCACCAGTTTGCACAGTTGTAGAAATGTGATGTTTTTGCATTTGCTGTTCATGATACAGTACAATGCAAAATCTCGTATTGGTTATAAATGTATTCCTGCTCTTTTACAGGAAACTGCGTTGTGCCAGGAACTTTATTCACATCCAGCTCTTTCTTACGTTCATCCTGAAAGCTGTGGCGGTGTTTATAAAGGATGCTTCTCTGTTCTCAAGCGACGACACCAACCACTGCACCCTTTCCACAGTAAGATAATGATGCTCGGGACAAGTGCTTCTTGTTTGTATTAAGAAATTCCTCTGGGTGCATTTCCCTGATCTCATGTATTTATGCATAATCACATATTGCTTATGCACGCCTTACCACACTAATTCCTCCTTACACTTTGCTCTCTGTCCTTTCCCCTCTTCTTGTTCTTTCTGGTCAGTTTGCCTGTAAAGCCTCTGTGGTCTTCTGTCACTACTGTGTAATGGCAAACTTTTTTTGGCTCCTGGTGGAGGCACTTTACCTCAGTTCCCTGCTGCTCTCCTCTTTCTATCATAGCCGCCGATGTCTGTGGGGCTTCAGCTTGCTGGGATGGGGTGAGGACCTTGACATACAATTTCCCCAACATTTGCTATGTTGAGCCGCCTACCAAATTAAAGAACATGGCCCTACTTTGCAATATCTCAGATTTAACAATAGTGAGAAGACATGTATGATAACATTAGAATTTTCCAAAAATTACAGTTTTATAACTCATCTTTTTTTAGAGATACTGTAAAACACTTTAGAGAAAGAATCAGGTTAAAAAAAGTTTTACAATACTGTGAAAAGTCTTGAGCAATAAGTCTTCAAAAGGCTTGAAGATACCAAATATTACCTTTCGAGCTTGTTAGAACTCAGATTTGGCCTGAATTACCTTTTGTTCCATTTGTGTTTGCATGTTTCAGTAAATTACTCCACCTGTTTGTACTGTTGTATGTGTGTTTTTAAACGAAGAAAATACATGAATACAAACAGGAATCTGAAAAAAATCCCTGTTTTTTGTTGCTCTTTTTGGATTGAACAAATACTGGCAGTGGGGATTTTCAATTTTTAACTCCATCAAACTTGCAGGTAGTTTGGAGCATTTATTTCATTTTGGAAAACTTCTGCCTCGTGCTGTCATTTTTTCCCAGTTAATATTCAAGTGTCTGTAAATAAAGCATAGCAAATACCAAAATAACATTTTTACCTTTTACTTTCCCATTGGGATTTTATTTGGATCACACCTAAAGTGCTGATTAGCAAAGTTTCACAGCAGCCTTCAAGGTCAAAAAGAACCAGAAACGGTAACATCAGCCAACATGTGCATATTATTATAACAGCTAAAAAGTTTCCTGGTTCAGTGGCATGTGCAGCATTGATCTATATTAACCTCCTAATACCTGGCGTCCACATATGTGGACATCACATTTTGGGTTATTTAGACCAAAATACTCAATTTTGCTCTACAAGGGCCTGATATCCACTTACGAGGACATTGTACTGCTACTGTTCTATCGAAATTTTAAATGAATATCCTCATAAGTGTCTCTCATTTTTCTTAGAAACAAAAATTAGGTAAAAAAAAAATCCTGGTAATTCTTTGGGACCTGATGAATGTAAATACAATCAGCCCAAATATCAAAGAGAAATTAAAAATGCATGCTGTTCGGGTCTTAGGAGGTTAACGTTTATATTGATAATTTATTAGATCTGCTATAGATTGAATGTACCTGCCTCTCACACTATGAGATCTTGGATAGAATTATGTGGGTTCATTGTACTTACTGTAAGATGTACACTGTAGTGCACACAACCTTTAAAATAATTCATTTACATTTTATTCCTTCTGCATGGTGCAGATATTAGGAAAATTGATACTCGTCCAATCAGTTCACACACTGGTAGCTTCCTAACTCTGATTCAGCCATTTTCGTGTGTAATGATTGCATCTCACTGACACTAGTTTTGATTTCTGTAACAGGTGTGCCGGTGCTCTTCATAGTCCTGTGGATTGGATCCAGGGTGTATTTTGAGGACACAGAGTTTGTATAAACTTGAATTACAGCTTCTATAGCCACAATCATCATTATTTCTCATAAGCAGCAATAGGTGAAATGCTAAATTGTGCTAAATTAATGAAAATGATGCATATAAACGCATTAGAGGGGAATGTGAACGTGAGTCTACTGTACATAATATTGTAAGTGCATTTACATGGATAATTTGCACTCACTTTGTACTCAGCAGTAATTGTTGGGTGTTATTTTTAGGACGTCGATTAAATTTACTGCATGCAATGCTTGAAGAAATCTTCTAAAGTGCACATTTCTTGCACAGATGTTGGGACATCAATGAGGACTCACCCTATTGGTGGATCATCAAGGGGCCGATTGTTGTCTCTATAGCGGTAAATGCCCCCATTCTTCTGAAACAAAAAATTATGATGAATTTTTTAATTATGCACTGATTAGAGATTATTATGTAGATGATTTGTTTACCTTCTTTTTAGAGACAGCCTCTGAGAAAGGACTGGGATGAACTTCTTTTGTGCCATTAGAGTAGAGTGCAAAAATTGGCACCACACCAGCCTAAGTTAATTATACGCTTGGCTGCTCATATTGTTGCCATGACATTCAATAATCATGTTGCTGAAAGCAGCATTTGATGTAATATTTGTTACAGTTTTTAAAATTTTTATTATTAGTATTAGTATTGATTTTTGCATTCTTGCTTTTTCTTTCAACAGGTCAATTTTATGCTCTTCATGAATATCATCAGAATTCTAATACAAAAGCTCAATCCACGTCTGATCCAGTTCAATAACTCCTCTCAGTACAGGTAATCCTTTAGGTGCAGACACAGTTGTAGACAATGGGAACTCGGCCGTGATACAGAATCTCATATTTTAGTCATTATTGCATTTTGAACACAGAAACGATCAAATTCATCTCGTTTCTGATACAAGACGTGTTTATCTTCAATTGGCAAACGTTTTCAGACATTTTGAAATACTTTTCTTCACTCACTGGTACTTTTTTACTCTGATAGTTACCGTTTGATGCTGAGAACATTGCAAGTTGTGCCAAAAATTCAAAACTATTGTAGGCCATGAATAATTCAGTAATTCAGTCTGGTCACGTCTGCAGTTCCGCTTACCAAGAGGCTCATTAGAATTTCTAATTGAAATAGACTCACTAATTGACTGAAAATGTTCAGGCACATCACGTAAATCCGGATCTCATAAAAGAAATACCATAGGTACAGTAAGTTAAATGATGCTTGACTTAATTGCACCAGTTAAGTTCACATGTTCCCTGACACATAAAGACATTATCTCTGCAGCTACATTTTAATAGCCCTATTTGAAATCATGCCCCCGCTGCTTACCTTTCCTCTTGTAAAGAGAGGCTGCATACAGAATGACACACAAAGACAAAGATCATCTTGATTGGCATCTGATCATTACTGTGTCTGCATGCATGATGATATCAGGTGCAGCATTCAAATGAGGTACGTATAAGCAGACTCTTTTTCCTTTGCTTTTGTGCAACAGGCGCCTGACTAAATCCACCCTCCTCCTCATCCCTTTGTTTGGAACTCACTACATGTTCTTCAATTTTCTGCCCGACTACTTCAATATTAACCTGCGCCTTTGTATCGAGCTCTGTATGGGGTCCTTCCAGGTACACACATGGATTGCATCAACACTAATGGCACATACTGTACATGCTGTACCATAGTCTCTTCAGCATCCTGTGATAATCCTTCATGTTAACTTGGCTTCCACTGTTTGAGCATTATGGGTGTGAGACAGCATCTCGACGACATTAGATCTTTGTGTTGCAGGCCTAGAATTGAAAGTCAGTTTGGTTATTAGATCTGCTTCACTTTCTGTCCTTTTAGGCAGCATGTTCCATTTATTAATGAAAGTGTCACTTATTATTATCATAAATATTAATGATTAAACCCATCTCTTTCACAGGGGCTTCTTGTGGCCATTCTGTATTGCTTTCTAAATCAAGAGGTCAGTACACAAACCACACTACTCTAAAGTGTTCAGAAAATTGCACACATAATTTACACACACTGTGGTGCATAATTAGCCTTCACGTGAGACTCATACACATCAGCCACAATGCGCAAAACTGTCCCATGGTGTCTCAGAAGCATAGTATTATTGTTATTCTAGAAGCATGGGTCACACTTAGCGCAACCTCAAAGAGGCTCAGTTATATTGAGATGAGGAATGTTTGGAGGCCAAGTCAGCACCTTGAACTCTCTCGTGTTCCTGAAACGATTCCTGAACAGCTTTTTGCACTGCGACGGAGCATTTTCACTGGCTGAAAGAGCCCAATGCCATCAGGGAATAGTGCTGCCGTGGAGAAGTGTGACAGATGGTCTGCCACAATATTTAGGTATGTCATGCATGACAAAGGAACATGGGGAGTTTCCCAGAGGAACATTGCTTGTCTGTTTCTCACAATGTATCTGGCAGGCCATGGCTCATATAGTCAGCAAGCTGTTATGCGCTATGTATCCACTAGACCCCTATCATACCCATCATTAAGATTTTGAGCAGTTTGTGCTAAAGTAGCTGCTGTGTGGCAAGGCTTTGCTCCCCAGGCGCTTCAGTGAGCATTTTAATATTGTGGCTAATCTGTATTCCAGCAGGAGGTAACTGGTTTAGAGTTGTCAGTGCTAAAAATGCAAAAAATATTTTCCACTTCTCTTCCCAGCATTGCATAAGGAAAGGACCCAGCATGCTTATGTAACTGGCAAGATTAATGTAAGGCCAGCCTCCAAAAAACTGGGGGCAGAAGCAGACAGTGTACACTATATGACTCACATGCTTTAGAGACACGAGAAACACGTTAGAGTCACCGAATGGTCATGAGAATTATTTCATTTAATGTACTATTTGTATGATTACCTATGTAACCTATTTAATTGTTTCACTGATACACAGAATGAATGCATTGATTCTCAGCAAGAAATATATAAATATATACATATATAAAACACTGTGTTTAGCTTTCATCTGTCAACAGTGAGGTGATTCTTGTTTCACTTTTAAAGTATAAAAGAAATAGTCTGACATTTTGCTAAATATAGATGTTTGTCTTCTACAACTTTTTTCTTCATTGGTTACTAAGAAAATTGATACAAGTTGCACCTCTGTTATATAAAACTACTGCAACCCTATCTTATCCTTGCACTAATTTAAAAACGTAATTTAATATTCTAGTTCATTTAACTGCAAAAATGTAAGCGTAGAAGCGAAAAATCCAGAATTATTTTTAATCCAAGCAGTTTGGTTACCTGCCTCTCCTTGCCAGCAGTAGGTTGGCATATAATGCTCCATAATGATGCAAACTGCAATCAGACTTGTGGGGGTTTTTTTGGTCTTTTTTGTTAATCATTAAACACATTGGATAAAAAAAAATGCTGTAGGCAGGGTTTGCCAAGCTAGCTGGTACCTAGTCACTGTGGCTCAGCGATTGCTGGTTGTAGACATACAGGGAGTGCAGAATTATTAGGCAAATGAGTATTTTGTCCACATCATCCTCTTCATGCATGTTGTCTTACTCCAAGCTGTATAGGCTCGAAAGCCTACTACCAATTAAGCATATTAGGTGATGTGCATCTCTGTAATGAGAAGGGGTGTGGTCTAATGACATCAACACCCTATATCAGGTGTGCATAATTATTAGGCAACTTCCTTTCCTTTGGCAAAATGGGTCAAAAGAAGGACTTGACAGGCTCAGAAAAGTCAAAAATAATGAGATATCTTGCAGAGGGATGCAGCAGTCTCAAAATTGCAAAGCTTCTGAAGCGTGATCATTGAACAATCAAGCGTTTCATTCAAAATAGTCAACAGGGTCGCAAGAAGCGTGTGGAAAAACCAAGGCGCAAAATAACTGCCCATGAACTGAGAAAAGTCAAGCGTGCAGCTGCCAAGATGCCACTTGCCACCAGTTTGGCCATATTTCAGAGCTGCAACATCACTGGAGTGCCCAAAAGCACAAGGTGTGCAATATTCAGAGACATGGAAAGAAAGGCTGAAAGACGACCACCACTGAACAAGACACACAAGCTGAAACGTCAAGACTGGGCCAAGAAATATCTCAAGACTGGTTTTTCTAAGGTTTTATGGACTGATGAAATGAGAGTGAGTCTTGATGGGCCAGATGGATGGGCCTGTGGCTGGATTGGTAAAGGGCAGAGAGCTCCAGTCCGATTCAGACGCCAGCAAGGTGGAGGTGGAGTACTGGTTTGGGCTGGTATCATCAAAGGTGAGCTTGTGGGGCCTTTTCGGGTTGAGGATGGAGTCAAGCTCAACTCCCAGTCCTACTGCCAGTTTCTGGAAGACACCTTCTTCAAGCAGTGGTACAGGAAGAAGTCTGCATCCTTCAAGAAAAACATGATTTTCATGCAGGACAATGCTCCATCACACGCGTCCAAGTACTCCACAGCGTGGCTGGCAAAAAAGGGTATAAAAGAAGAAAAACTAATGACATGGCCTCCTTGTTCACCTGAGCTGAACCCCATTGAGAACCTGTGGTCCTTCATCAAATGTGAGATTTACAAGGAGGGAAAACAGTACACCTCTCTGAACAGTGTCTGGGAGGCTGTGGTCGCTGCTGCACGCAATGTTGATGGTGAACAGATCAAAACACTGACAGAATCCATGGATGGCAGGCTTTTGAGTGTCCTTGCAAAGAAAGGTGGCTATATTGGTGGCTGATTTGTTGTTGTTTTGTTTTTGAATGTCAGAAATGTATATTTGTGAATGTGGAGATGTTATATTGGTTTCACTGGTAAAAAAAAATAATTGAAATGGGTATATATTTGTTTTTTGTTAAGTTGCCTAATAATTATGCACAGTAATAGTCACCTGCACACACAGATATCCCCCTAAAATAGCTAAAACTAAAAACAAACTAAAAACTACTTCCAAAAACATTCAGCTTTGATATTAACGAGTTTTCTGGGTTCATTGAGAACATGGTTGTTGTTCAATAATAAAATTATTCCTCAAAAATACAACTTGCCTAATAATTCTGCGCTCCCTGTATATTTAACCAGAATAAACAGATATCTTTATATGAATATGCAGAACCTGTAGGCACTGAACATGATTTCCATTTGTAGTGCACATGCCATCAAAGCTTGCAGGTAAAAGGCTTGATGGAGACTAAATGAGGGATTGCTTTTGCCAAAATGCACTCAAGCCATCGGCATTGTCTGATGTCAGTTAAGCTTTTGTCTTGGCTCGGATATTCATGAGCACTGCCAACCACAAAAATGGTTGTTGTAATAAGAGGCTAAGTCAAAATACCAGATTATGGGTTCCCAGTTTGCCATATAGTGCTTAACAAATTTATTATACCATCCATCCATCCATTCGCTTCCGCTTATCCTTTTCAGGGTCGCGGGGGGCGCTGGAGCCTATCCCAGCTGTCATAGGGCGAGAGGCAGGGTACACCCTGGACAGGTCGCCAGTCTGTCGCAGGGCTAACACACAGAACCAACTGTCATAAAAAATAAAGGAAAATATTTTATAAATATGTGAAAAACTTGCGTAAAACAAGACATTATGTTGTGTATAACAAATTGAATGCACATTTTTATACCCAAATATGGACTTCTATGAGAGACCGAGCACAGCAGTCAAACACTAAAACTTATTTTCCCAATCAGGAATGCAAGTAATTAACTTTAATTTGGCATGTCAATAAAAAAGAGTGTGCTTTACTTTTTTTCAACTATTTTTTTGTTGTTGTTGTTGTAAAGCTGTAAATTTGAAAATTCACGGTTAACTAAAATGAAACTACAATGAAAACCATTAAGAATTTCAAAGAGCTTACAGATACTTGTGATTAACCTTTACAGAAACATAAAAGATGATTTTGGTTATGACCATTACTATTAGTTTAGGGCGGCTTTGGCATAAACCTTACATTGAGTGGTGGTCTAAACACTGCACATGTATCAAAAGGCTTTGAAAACAAATAAATGAATTTCCCAAAATGTTAAGCTATTGCTCTTACCATAATGATACAATCTAAACACTGATTTAAACAGATATTTATGCCTGTGTGTTTGCTTGATAGGTCCAGAAAGAGGTCCACATGCAGTGGTTGAGGTGGCAGGAAAGGAGTTACGGGGTAGTGTCTCCCGCTCCGAAAGGCAGTCAGATGGACACGCCTTTCTAGAAGCCCGAGATGCTTTTTGCTCCTTCCTGCAGAACCTTTGCTGAGTATTTGCAGAGAATTGCTTCTGTGCACATCATAATTTCTAACGAGCTGTACGTAGCACACACAATAAAAAGAGGTTGTCGAACATGCATCAGTGAAGCCGGGGCCTGGAAGTCATTTCAAGCTGATTCACTGACTGTTCTCCTTCAGTCAGATTGAATGAACTGGGGTGAACTATCAAAAGGAGAATAATTCTGAAATCCCTTGACATTTTACACATCCTACAAGCGAGCCTGTCAGTTTCCATCTGCATTTCCCAAAGGGCACTATGACAACTGAATTAGAATTTGAAACATCCCTGGAGGCATCAAAGGTCAAATTAAAGAATAATAATTTTGCATAGCCCATCAATTACGTAACCATCAGTTAGCAAGTCATTAGGTGTTGTTGTTGTTTTTATTAACCAGGAAACTACATATTATGATTAGCATTTGCATTTTAGATGCTTAAATAAGACCAAGTATATTGAAATCTGATAGCCTGCAGGACACTACATATGAAGCTGTAGCCTACTGCCAGCTGACGCACACATGACTCACCTCTTTAATCACTCAAATGACAATTAAAATGTCTTATTCTTAATGGCTTTCTTATTGTTCATTGGTATTTAAATATTATTCGGCACATGGGGGAGAGGTATTGTACAAGTTATGATTATTTCTTTGGTTTTTTGCCTCTTTCTTTTATGTATTCACTCGGCCTGTTTTTATTTAAGAATGAAAACCTGCACACTCAACCTTAAATGGCACGTCGTTGAAATGCACTACTCTGCAGACTTTGAAGGTTAAAGTTAATGCAGCATGTTGTGTTCTGCCAAGTTGTTCAGTCAGCCAAAGTGAACAAATGATCTGGATCTCCACTGCCATCTGCGATCAGCACAAAAATGTGAAAAAAGCCTTTTTTTTAATATAATGTTTAACTTTACATGCTAATGTATTGTCGAGTGCTTTCACCTACATGCTAAAAGAATAATATTAATACTGCACAAATAAATATGCTTTTTGCATCTTGTTTAGTGAAAAAAAAATCAAATGTAAGATGAAAACATAATAATTACCGCTACTTTTCATGCCTGCAATGTGTACATTTTATTTTATGTAAATTAGCTCTTATCCTTGACGTGAATGTATAAACTGTGAGACTGTTCCTTTATCACCACCTCTTACTTACTGTTTCAACTGAGCCTCTTTCTGTGATCTTTTAAAACCTTGTACCATGTCTGACTTCTGTAGGTTACAGCATAAACACTTTTACTCTGTGTAATTATGACTCTGCAGTTTCTTTCATAATGACAGAAAACATCTGCTGCCAGCTACAAAATGTTTTAACACTTTTACGCCACTGCAAAGATGATGGGGTATCCACTTGCTTAAATACTTAAATAATTAGATCTGGTTTGCAGTGCAGCTTGTATGTTATGTCCTCACCTTTGTTATAATATAGCCATTAAAATGTGTAGAAGTATGTGTTCAGTTCACATGCGGGTGGAGAAGTGAATCAACAGAAACCATTAGAAAAATTCTGATGGTTTCCAGTTGGGAGAAACAATTCAAATAATCATGACCCATTAGAGGTTTCACATTATCACAGGCTGTATTGTGTTTGCTTTGATGGTTTCCATTATTTCAACTACATACAAAAGATGCAGTCCTTTCTACGCAGTGGGAATGGGTGAGGAGGATCCCAAATAATGGACTTTGATCCAAACACAGTTACGGCATCCTTGAGCAATTTAATTAATTTAATTTCACTAGCTGGGACTACATCCTCACTTGGCAGCATTTCCTGTAGATAATATATTGTGAATTAAGGCTGCAGTGTAGTAATGGCTTCAGAGAAGACTTGACTGGGCAGAAGCCTGTGGGCTAATGAAAGGTGAATGAACGGAAAAGGGGAGGGACACAAAAAAAGAGAACAAACATTGTAGAGCAGGAGGGTCGTAGACAGAGAACCAGAAGGGGGGTGTATGAGGGGTGGTCCAGATAAGTTGTCTCCAATTATCGATATATAGAGATTTCTTTTAATAGAAAACACAACAGTTTTCTATTTTTTTTAAGTTAAAATATTATTTTAAAGTAACACCAAGCGTGAACAAAGTAAGAAACTAGGAGACAGTTTCTGTGATTCGTTAGATTCACCCTTTATTAAAGTGACTACTGAAGCAGGAACATAAAGGTTTTCTTTATCATGTCTGTCTGTCACTCACAGGAGAGACATTAAAGTAGTAGGTCTGATGTGAGCTACAAGATGAGCTCTGTAAAAATACGTTTTTTTTAAAGCTGTGACTGAAATGTGCACAGAAAAATAAGAAAAAAGCTTTATGGGAAAAATAACAATGAGTCAGTGAAATTCAGAGAACTGTGATTTGTGAGGGTTTTTTTCCACTCAATATCCTGAAGGAAAAGGCTTTTTTAATAAGGGGGGGTCTGTGCTTCACTCTCCTGTGAGGTGCAGGGTGCAGTGGCCTATGTGGAATGCCCTGTAGGGGGTATTTTTTTTTTTACAGTTAAGCCAAATGATTAGACCCCTTGAGAACCCCACTTATCACAGTCCCAAGTTATGACAGAACTATTTCTAAACCATCTGATATTTGCATAAGGTGAGCTGAAGCGGTTGAGCTTTCATCTTTCGCTCTGATCAGTCTGATTCTACTTTGGCGTGTTTGTATGAACCGCCCAGGGAAGCTGAGCTGCAAGGATTTGGCCTCCCTTGTTCCGGGGCTCGTTTATGACATCCACGCCAGGGTTTAAAGCAGCCTCCAGGCCAGCCTTTTGCTGCCTGTTTGCGGTGATTTGGGATTTGTGGAATGGGAAGTGCAGAGCTCCGGGACAGGATGTGGAGTCACTGCAGGATCGTACAGCCCCCCTATTCTTGACAGAGCTGGCGTGCGTCTGCATGAGCACCTCGTCTCTGCAGAAGATACACTGTAGAACCGGATCGCTTTGTGGCCTCTGGAAACCTGTGTTCCCGAGCCCTCTACTTAAGAGTAAATCTAAACCCAGGTACGTCGATTTACGCGACTTCTACGCATCTTTTGCTTCGCACCAACTCACAGAAACAGTTAGTCCCGCATTTGTTTTTATCGCCTTCTTTTAGCTGTTCTCGCAAAGAGTTTCGGGATAATACAGATGCTGCCAAAACTGATCTTCTCAGTTAAATTAGACACATTTCAGTGTGATCTGTGATGTAAGTCTCTTTTGTTCAGTGCAGACAGCCTCGGGGGTTAACTTAATAACAGAGTGCTCTTTCCCCCCCTCGTGCTGTTGTTTTGCCTGCCCGGACATGCACTGTGTGTCTGTGTGCCTCTGTGTTTTCAATAGGTGAGCACCTTTACAGTAACTATGAAATGCTCTGTGTCATTTTATCTATTTTTAAACTCTGGTTTATTGATGGCTGAGTAACCTCATCTTCTCCTCTTCCTCTCCACACAGATTCAGGTGATGGCTCACCTCTGGACTCTCCTGTCAGCAGGCCTGCTGCTGATGTCCGTGGCTGAACCTCTGAGCAGCCCTCAGGAAAATGACAACAAGTTAGTGAAACACACAGTGTTCACTAAGAGCCAGGCAAGTGGTTTAGGAAGGCTTCTTACATGTATGTTAGTCTGACAGCATCAGACTATAAATAAATCTCAGTTTGTTGCCTTTTCCTGCTGCAGACCCAGGTGAACGAGAGTGCACTCAGAAATGTCAGTGAACCAACACCAAGCCACACACCTACAACCTGTGAGTTTTTTGGGGTTTTTTTGGTCATTTTGTCTTTTGTTGTGTTTATTTTTTCTCTCTTTTGTTGTGCTGTGTCTTACATTTCAGCATTTCCTTTCAGCAGCTCCCTCTTTTTCTTTGCATTAGCAGCTCCTTTGACCACCACAACTTCCCCAAACTCTAGCCTTGCTCCACAGTGTCCAGGAAACCAGCTGATGCATGAGAGCAGCAATGTCTGCATCTGTCCATCCATCATGGTAAAGGATGGTGACAACTGTACTTGCCCCAAGGGCTTCACCTTGGAAGGAGCAGCTGAGTGTAAAGGTAAGAAGTGATCAAAACTGGGAAAGTGCTTTTTGTAGAATTGTAAAATCACAAAAAAAATAAAAATGCTTTTGACATCTTTGAGTTTTTAACATTTACAGCAATGCAACACAACATAGAGGTACGCTACGTTACATGAGCCCAGTGAACAAAATTGCACGCAGGCTCATTAAACCTCTCTTGGAAAATATTAATGTGTATTAGTATCACGGTTGTGTTTAAACTTTTAACTGTACTGCGCAAATTTTCAGAAGCAAGCATGAGTGATGAGAAACAAGCTACCAGCTGATCTAACTGCATTATAATTTATTTACAAAACTTTAGCATTTAATATTTCAGAGCTGTGTTATATATTATTCATATATTTTTGTCAGCTTGACATCACCATGTAAAACTGCAGGTGTCTGAGTTAGATTAAGCGTATTATCTCTGTTGGACAGATGTTGATGAGTGCGAAGGAGAGAGACCAGGACCATGTGACCTCCATGCCAGCTGCATTAATAACCCCGGCTCTTACTCGTGTAGCTGTCTCCGTGGTTACCTGATGGGTTCTGACGGGTGCCAGGGTTCGTCAACCTCTGTGTGTGTTTTTCTATTTGTGTGTGTGTGTTTGTGGGGGGAAAAGAAATGTCCGATGCAGGTTTTCAGAAATTTTTCACAGCGCCTCTTTAGTATGATCATAATTTACGTGTTTCTTATGGGTCTTGCAGATGTTGATGAGTGTGCTTTGGCCGCTGTGACAGGCCTGCAGGCCTGTCAAGGCGAGGCTGAGTGCAAAAACACACCTGGCTCCTTCACCTGTTCGTGCCATGAGGGATATGTAATGGCTACAAATGGGCGAGGCTGTGTAGGTGAGGTTAATGTTGAAGTCTGGTGTGCGTTTTGATAAAATATGCATGTACATCCAAATGTATATCAGCATAAAATACAGGCTGACACGCTACATCATAACCCGGGATGACTTAAATGTTTGCATCTGTTAAACTTGGCCATTTATCTTATAATTTATTGGTGTTACTCCTCTGTAGATGTGGATGAGTGCAGCTTTGAGGAGCTGTGTCGCCGCGAGCTGGGAAATGTGTGCGTTAACACTCCTGGCAGCTTTTCATGCCAGTGCCAGCTGGGCTTCAGAGCAGAGACTGCTGCCTGTGTCGGTAAATCATTAAACATCACCACGACTGAAAAAGGCCGATGTCCAGATTTGATCTGGTGTTTTGAATTTTTAACATACTTCATTTGAGTTTCTGCAAAGTAAGAACTTTGTCTGACAGAGAGAAATGCTTTGCAGCAAGATACAGCTTCAATCTGCTGCTTTGCCTGCTTATATATGCTCCTGTCCCTCTTTCACCCTCACGTTAAAGGCTGATTTCCTCTTTTGTTCTGTAAAGAAAAAAAAAGAAGTCTGTTCACTTTCTTTTCGACTTCTTTGCGCCCCTGGTCCTCCAGCACATCCTGTGTACCCAGGTTACTCTGTGTGCCAAGGCATGATGTGCTTTCTGTGCCTACTTTTCATGGCTTAAATTTTCATAGTAACATCTGCGCTGTGCTTGATTATGTACTATGATTTTACCACTACTGTCAGAAAGTAGCAATGTTAAATGGACTAAAGGGGAATTAAAAGAAGAAAAAGAAAAAAAATCTATTACCACAGCTTCCCAAAGTGGTTCAGTGACAGTTATTTAAAACAAGGTTGTTGACATGAAAATGACTTCGTACCTTTATTGCTTGCCAGTAAATTAAGGGAGTGCTTTGCAGGAATTAAATTTCCTTTTCTCTAGATGAAATAATTTTTAATTGCAAATTGCGTCAACAATGCATAGAAGAAGAAGTCATATGTTGTATCCATGTCACTAAACTATTCTGTCCTTTTGTCTCTGTCCCAGATGTGGATGAATGTATAGAGAGTCCCGTGGCGTGTGATGGACGGAGCGTATGTGAGAACACGCTTGGGAGCTACGAGTGTGTTTGTCGACCGGGTTACCGGGGAAACGGCACACACTGTGAAGGTAAGCAATTAGTGCTGACGTCCCTCCGTGGAAAACTCTGTTTCCTGTGGACGGGGTCAGCTTCCTTGTGTGCGCGTGTTTTAATGCTTGCTGTTATCCCTTCCATTAAAATTATCCCAAGTGGTAGTACAAGCTTCACTGAATAGAAATGAACCGGCTCTCTGTCTGTCTTCAGATGAGAATGAGTGTGTATCTGGTGGTCACACGTGTGACGCCAACGCTCGGTGCGGTAACATCATCGGGTCGTATTTCTGTCAGTGTTACCAGGGCTTCAACGGCGATGGACACTCTTGTTTTGGTGGGTAAGGGGTGGGTGTGTGTGTTTGTTGTTACCCACTTGTATCATGTAAGCATTACTTTCTCTGTATGAGCATTACATGTGCTTGTTTACAGACATTGATGAGTGTGTTGTGAACAATGGTCGCTGTGAACACAACTGCACCAATGAGCCAGGAAGCTACAGCTGCCAGTGTGCCTCGGGTTACCAGCTGGACCCGGACAGACACAGCTGCACAGGTAAAAGGCAGGCTGTAGTAGGATGTTATTAAAGTAGGCATGAGTAAGCATGACTTTTTCTTATGTTACTTTAAAAAAAAAAAGTTTGACTTTTTAGAAAATAGGCTTCTTAATTCTTGCTGTGGGTTAACAGTTGTACAACTTTTATTATTGTGAAATGTGTTCTATAAATAATCAGAATCAACTCGTTTGTGGATCTACTGAAAAAGTAAGCACACCCTTAATGTAAATACTGGCCAATTCCTGAGATGTTACTCCGTAATGCACAGTGCCACATTTGGTAAAGATCAAACACACCATGTGTGCAAATGGCTAATACAAACTGTCAAGCACCATGGTGGATGGTGCTTGACAGTTGGTATACGTGAGTTGATGATTTAGGCTTGTTTTGCAGCCGCAGGACCTGAGTCGACCTCACAGCTAAAGCTTGGCTCAAATTAGGTCATGAAACAGGGCAATGATTCCAAGCAGAACAGCAAACCTACAACAATGGAGAGAAAAGGAGAGAATCGAGGTGCTGAAATGAAGTTATTGCTGCTAACAGCGGTTCTACAAGCTGCTGAATAATGGGGTTTGCTTACTTTTTCATTTGACTGCATAGTCTTGTGAAAATTTTATTTGTCACATGATTGTGTCTACCTGTTCCCCTCTGCTTATTCTCTAAAGCTCCATATAATCCAAGTATTGGGTATATTGTTTGCATTAACTCTAAAATGTGGGCTTTGCTACTGTCAGAGGAGTTTATTTGTTATTGTGACCAAATGTAGTCCAGGACAAAATTCAGAAATTTAGGATGACCTCTGATGATGATGATGATGATATAACACCGTCCAAACCAAACAGATTAAGTGAACAAACGGGAATGGCAGCAGAAGCATGCAAAAAAATAGATCGGGAACTACAGCTATGGATCAAGACCTCTGTTATTACTATTATTGTTATTATTGTACAGTCTGTATATGTCAAATCTGATGTCATACACATTTTTATTAGATCCTTGCATCATATTTTTGCTTGCAGTAAATGTATGAAATTGCTAAAGTGTCACAGTGCATGGCTGTGAGACCTTTAAACTGCCTTTATTATTGATGAGTGAAGTAAAACAAACTGCAGTCTAAAATGTGCTGCACCACCCACCATAACAGCCAATCAGATGGGCAGTACAGTAGTTAAAATGTAACCGTCCTCTTCATTTTAATTAGTTACACACAGTAACCATTAAATTGAAACCTAAACACAGTTGCTGTATTTCCTAGAGACGAGGTTCTAAGGTCAAGTCATAGTGCGGCTAGTCAACAGAGGGCAGCAGAGATCATCTCTGTGGGCTTCTGCATCATTCTCAAAAGACATAGCCATTGTTGCTCTCTCCATTCAGTCACTCTGCACTTAGCTGGTATTCCAGGTTTGTGCAATTTTGTGCTAATAGAATTTCAGATGTTTATTTCAAGTCTAAATGAGTCCTTGTGCTGAATCTATTTCATGTTTTGCCATGGCGCAAGAGTAATCTAAATGTTGCTGATCTCTCCAGATGTGGATGAGTGTGTGGGACTAAATGGGACTTGCGAGCACATTTGCATCAATACTCAGGGCTCTTTCCACTGCTCCTGCAGACCCGGCTACCAGCTGCATATTGATGGCCACACCTGCGTGGGTCAGTCCCTCTTAAACACTCACTGCTGTTTACCCAATCATTTTCGGTCATTTAAACATGCCAAGCATCAGTAGTAATCTGCCATGAATATGTCTTATCTCTTGCTAATTATTTTGGTGCATGTGATTCTGGTTTTTCTTGTGCATATTTTCTGTGCAGACACTCTGGAAGTAGTTGTCCTGAGGGCACATTTTGGAAAATTAGTGAGATGAGAAAGCCAGACTGTGAGGAATCTGTTGCATGCATAAGAGAGAGCTGTCCAAACATGATGTTTATGATCTGTGTGTTTCTGTGTGTGGGTTTGTGTACATAGACATCGATGAATGTAAACTCCAGAATGGCTGCTGTTCCCACACCTGCACTAATTCTCCAGGGGGACATACTTGCCATTGCCCCCCTCCTCTGCTGTTAGACATAGACAACCTAAACTGCAGGAGTAAGTTTGATTACAGAGTTGACATTACAGTCTTTTGTGTACAAAAATATATAATTATTTTAAAAAAACAAAACAGAAGGTAGGCACTTCTTTCAAATCTGAATAAAAAAATCTTATTAAGAACTCTTGTCCTGGTGTTTTAACACAGATTTTTCATCAAGATCAAATCTTTTAATGTGACATGACACAGCTAAATATGTTTTTTCCTTCTGATCAGCAGTCAAAACATTGCTTCTTCTATCAAAAAGAAGAAGCATAGCACCAAATTTCCCATTTTAAAAGCTGAAATAGCAAGTTCACGCAGTCTTCTTTATTGTTCAGTATTTCTGTGTACCAAGCTAAAAATTATTATTATTATTTTTTTTTACCCAAAAAGATGCTACATCCTGTAAGCTGAGAAATGGTGGTTGTGACCATATGTGCACTGTAAGGGCTGAGGGCCACGTTCAGTGCAGCTGTCAAGCTGGCTGGCAATTGGACGAAGACGCGAGGAGCTGTGTGGGTGAGAGTTCATGTTCACTGCCAGCACTTTATTATTAGCTGAATCACATGGCGTTACTATCAGCAAACGCACTCTCGAAAGCACCAATTTGTTGCGATCTGGTTTATGTGTACATTCCTCTGCGCCATATCCTTCTGGGTAATAAGAAAATTATGTCATTCACATAGATTACAATTTCAAGTTACTTTTCTCAAAATCTCGAGTTTATAAGTCAAAATTTTGAGAAAGATTTTGAGTTATGGAAACAGGCTTCCATAGTTATGAGATCGTATCAGTGCAACAAGCCCTGATATCCTTTTTCATATAACGCCTAATATCAAAATAATAATTAAAATGACTTTACCATCTCTTGAATCCAGCAGAAATACACTCACCAGCCACTTTATTGGGTACACCTCTTTAACTGCCCATTAATGCAAATATCTAAGTGCTTCTAGGCATGTAGACCAAAGACTGTATAAGACATTTTTTACATTCACGGATGCAGATGTGGTCAAGACAACCTGCTAAAGTTCAAACTGAGCATCAGAATGAGGATGAAAGGTGATTTAAATTACTTTGAACATGGCATGGTTGTTGGTGCCAGACAGACTTGTCTGAGGGTTTCTTAAGCACATCCATCGCTGGGGTTTGCAGAGAAAGGTCTGAAAAAGAGAAAGAGGGTGACAGTTCTCTTGGCAGTAAAAATGCCACGTTGATAACAAAGGTCAGAGGAGAATGGCCAGACGGCTTTAAACTAATTGAAAGACACCAGTAACTGAAATAATGCAGCAACCCCGGTTCGAATCCGGGTCACGGCACCAAGTTGTTGAAATCTCCCAATTCTTTGAATCTTTGGGCTGAAGGAGGGACAATACTCGGTGTATCAATGCTCAATCAACAATCATTTATTTCCATACAATTCAACAGTCAGAGCATTACAACGTCCGGACGGGAGAGATGCTACCAGAGGGTCAGGCACATGTCTCAAAATGGTGACGGGTTGCTCAGCTTTTTATAGTCTCTAGTGGCCCCCAGCTAGTCGTAAAAGCCAAAACATCACATTCTTTCTCTGTTACAGCGCCTAAGTTATGACCTCGGCAGTTGTTTCTCTGCTTTCTGTAAGGTGGGGGTGTGGAATGTGGTCTATCTATCTCCCCTGTCTTTAGACACAGAGTCTCCTGCTTACAACCTTCTCTTCATGATTCAACAATTAAGCATGTCAAGAAAACAGTGTAACACATTCCCAGCAGATCAAGGATACAGAGTGATGCACATTTATCTAATGAACTAATATGTGAATATGTTCTGTTAACTCAAAAGTATAACGAGAACTAAACTACATACAGCTCACACACTCTATATTAAAGGGTATAATGTGATCTACAGCAGTATTCTAATTCAACTACTTTGATTACATATATAAGGTAACATATAATAACAGAATAATCTAACATCACTTGTTACAAACAAAGTATGCAGACGAGCATCTTTGAACAAACAACGTGTAACCTTGAAGCAGATGGGCTACGACAGCAGGGCATCACTCTGCCACTCCTGTCAGCTGACAACAGGAAACTGAAGCTAGAATTCCCACAGACCACCCGTCTGATAAATCTTGATTTCTGCTGTGAGTAATTTAGCATAAACAAGAGGAAAGCATGGATCCATCCTTGTATCAGTAATTGAGGCTGGTGACGGTGCAGTGGTGTAGAAGATGTTTCCTTGACACATTTTGAACCCCTTAGTATTAGCTGAGCATTGTTTTGTATACCTGAGTATTTTTTCATGTCCATCCCGTTCTGACTACAGGCTTACCATGTTCCGATGGCTGCTTCTCATAGGATGATGCGCTATGTGAGAAAGCTCAGATTATGTCATGATACATAATCATAATGAATAGAGCACCTTTGGGATGTCGTGGAATAGGCCCTTCACATCAAGGATGTGCAGCGGACAATTCTTCAGCAACTGTGCAATGCAGTCATGCCAGTTGAGACCCAAAATCTCTGAGGAACGTTTTCAGCACCTTGTTGAATCTGTGCTTTGAAGAATTAAGGCAAAACCCAGTACTAGCAAAAGTGGCTGATGACTGTAGATTATCCACACAGCAATTTTGTAAAGGCTAAAGAGCCAGAGAGGCTTTCAGAGATTAGATCGGCTTCTCATTTGCGTTGCATTCGCCATGTGATTTCTTTTCATGAAGCTATTCATAAAAAAGGAAATTTGATAGTTTGATAGTCTGTTATGGACTAACGACTCCCTTGAATGAATACAGAGGCGGGCATGCCTTGTCACTTAGCCAACCATAAATTAAGCAACTGTCACGTAGGTTTAATGTTTAATTGCCCTCCTTCTGTCTTCTGTCATGAGATGTGAACGAGTGTGAGGACTTCACTAATGGAGGCTGCGAGCAGCTGTGTGTGAATCATCCTGGTGGGTTTAACTGCACCTGCAAGGAGGGCTATATAGTTAGAAAAGATGACCCCACCAAGTGCCAGCGTGAGTCAAACATAATCTTATGTAGTGTTAAGGACTTTTTAAAAATCTAAAAATAGATTTATTTCAATTCCTTCACTTATCTTTATTAGCATCTCTGCCTTTCCAGCTGTGTGCGACCCCCCTTGTCAGAACTATGGAGTGTGTGTTGCCCCGAACATTTGCGACTGTCCTCCAGGCTATCCTGGAGTGGGCTGCTCAGGTACAATAAACGTTGCACATAATATATATATATAATTAAAATGTTTTTTCACAGGAATATTAAAGTTAATTTGTGTCTCTTTTTTTGTGCACTTTTCGGTGTCCTTTGAGGTTAGTATAAGGTTTTAATGCAAAGAGGAGTATTATAGCCCTTTTCGTTGCATGTTTCAGCCATGTGCTCCCCTCCCTGCGCTCATGGAGGTACCTGTATGCGCTGGAACGAGTGTTTGTGTCTTCGCGGCTGGACAGGAGCAGGCTGCCACACAGGTACACTGCCTTTGGGGATCAGAGGGACAGGTGTTACATCAAATAAATAGAGTGGACAGTGTTTAGAAGCACTGTTTACATCAATGTGTTGCCCAGAAAATGCTTTTATAAGATGTTCTGCACTCACCTAAGACAAAGAGGCACTGGTACATATATCCATGCATGTATAAATGCATGTGCACAGGTGACGTGTGTGTCACAATGCCATTTTCTTCTGGATTCGACATCTGATTGTTAGCTTTGACTTTTCTTCGTGTCTCTTCTCAGCTGTGTGTGAGTTTCCTTGTGCCAACGGTGGTCGCTGTGTGGGACCTGACACCTGCCAGTGTCCCTCCGACTACACTGGCCCCCAGTGCCTCTTGCGTGAGTAATGTAATACAATAAATTATCCCAGGTGTGTAGGCACCACCGAGATCTACCCATCCACCTGCCTCCAAACAGTTTCTGGTAAAATATGGGCTATAGGATGGCAGAAAAACAAAAAAAGCATGAAGACATTTTTCTGCACAGACTGCGTGTTACTATATTATTTTGCATTTTGTAGCCCTTTGCACTCCTGCCTGTCAAAATGGGGGAAGATGTGTGGACGTCAACAAATGCACATGTGTTGGTGGATGGCAAGGAGCTCGATGCCAGATAGGTGAGATCAGTCATTCTCTGTTACTGTATCTCTGTGTAGCTTTTCCTGCATAATTAAAATATATTCAGACTAAAATATGATCAAACCATGTTTACACAGTAAGTTACAAATGATCATGGATGTAATTTTAACAACCACTTGTGTTTATTTAAAAAAAAACAGTAATATAAAGCTTCTCATGTCTTCGGATTACTTTCCTCTATGCAGTGAGTGGGATTTGCTTCTGTGCAGCTGGAGGCTTTAGTGTGATATTGGATGTGAAATTAGATGTTGACACCAGTGGATGCAGCATGGTTTCCCGTGGTTTCTTCTTCTCCCTGTTGCTTGCTGTTTGTTTCCATTGTTGCACTACTCTGCTGTTGTTGTTGTCGTTGACCAAATAAGATGAGATGTTTTTCATTCGATGTGCTTACGGGTGGAGAGAAGCAATCATGTGACGTATTTCTGGACTCTTTCTCTTATATTTGAAACCAGACACCGACAAATATGCAGCGTTTATTGTTCCATCCTGTTTTGTCACCTGGCATTTCAGAGCATATTCAGTAATTATTGAAAATCTTCACATTTTTCTTCTGTGTCAGTGGTGTAGAGCTAAGCCCTTCAATCATAACATGCGGTGGTGTCTGCCAGTGCATAGCTTCATAATCAACACGTTTCTAATGTCCAGACTTTCATCTGGAGCTTTTATTTCTCCAATCAGTAACAGTGTTTTTAAGTGGGAAAATGTCATTACTGTCATGGTCTCTGTGTCTACCCGGCCAGCCCTGCAAGGCTACATGTGTTTTGGTTTTGCTCTCTCTCATCGCTCTGCCTGGGCGGAGCTCACTGAGAGCTTCTGCTTTTGGCCCGCGCACCTGCTTCTAATCATGCACCGGTGATTCACCATTAGGGCTGGGTATCGTCACTGATTTCTAGAATTGATTCGATTCCGATTCACAAGGTCTCGAATCGATTCGATCCACAATTCGATTCAATTTGATTTGATTCGGGGAAATTTTGCCTCAGACAGTCAGAAATATAATAATTCAGATCATGCATCAGTACATTTCCAGATTTTTATATCTATAAAAAGAAAGCTGACATTTGTGAGACTTTATCAAAGGTGTGAGCATCACAGCAGATGCCTTTGTGTCAAAGTAGCTGAGGATAAAACACATAAAAATAAATATAAAAATATTCTGCAGTAGATCAAAAACGAAAGAAAACCATTAATCAACATATGAACATTACCTGATGCTGCTGAAGTGAAGCAGAGCAAAGTTACAGAGGTTTTAGAGACACAGCTGAGCGTTTCGCAATTTTGCATAAGTTTAAATTTGTTCAGTATTGAACAGCAGAAATGAGGCTTTGTTTTCGGAAGTTGGTAAAAGGAAAAAAACAGCGGCCGACAGCCTGTAAACAACGGTAGACTTGTGCGAATAATGCAGGAAAAAGATTTGCATGAAGTGTGATTTTTATCGTGGTGGAAGCAAAACAGCAAAAGTCAGAGTGAATTCATGACGATGTTTATGTGAAGCGTAGTTTGGATCTTCTTTTGCTGCTGGTTCAGTCAATATTGTTTCAAGAGAAATAAAAACCTGCAGCTTCAGAATCAGCACAAAAAGGACGTAAACACAAAGCGCAGACCACTTCTGTGGAAACACCGTCCAGCCTTTTGTTCTTACACTGTTGTTGATAAATGTATGTTCTGCTCATTGTGTAATTTATAACTGCCCAAATCCTCTAAATAATCTATGCTCCATGTTTAATAAGAAGACTCAATGTGTTTGGATTTATGCATTCTTTTTTCTGTCTTGATCAGAGCCTGTTGTGTGCCAGAAACCTTGCATAAATGGTGGCGTGTGTGTGGGCCTCAACCGGTGCCGCTGTACCAAAGCTTTCACTGGAGAGCTCTGTGAACAAGGTTAGTCCATGAGTGTGGAAGAATGTGTACATATACAGTATGTGTACAAAGGATCATGCTGTGTGCTGTGTCTGCAGCGGTGACTACACCCTGTGTGCCACCCTGTCAACATGGAGGCACATGCAGCCCTCACAACACTTGTACCTGTCCCGAGGGCACTGCAGGCCTGCGCTGTGAGAGACTGTGAGTATCAGTAACTTCTACAGCATCCATACATAACATATCTCACAGAGTGAAGTGCTTTAATTTACATGCTCCCACTGGCACAGATTATAAAGAACAACAAAATAAACTACCACAGCTATGCAGATGACACACAAATATATATCACAATGTCACCAGGAGACCGAGGCCCTGTACAGGCTCTTGGTAAATGCATTGAGGAAATCAATGACTGATTGTGCCACAATTTTCTCCAGCTAAACAAAAACAAAACTGAGGTAATAGTCTTTGGCGCCAAAGAAAAACGATTACAGGTCACCAGAGAACTTCAATCTATACATCTAAAAACCACAAACCAGGTGAGAAATTTGGGTGTAGTGATGGACGCAGACCTAAACTTAGAAAAACACATTAAGACAATAACAAAGTCAGCTTACTATCACCTCAAGAATATATCAAGGATAAAAGATCTGATGTCTCAACAGGACCTGGAAAAACTAGTCCATGCATTCATCTTTAGTAGGCTTGATTACTGTAACAGCATCTTTACAGGTCTACCTAAAAAATCAGTCAGACAACTACAGCTCATTCAGAACTCTGCTGCTCGAGTCCTCACTAAGACCAAAAAAGTGGACCACATCAGTCCAGCTCTGAGGTCCTTACACTGGCTGCCTGTCCGTCAGAGGATAGACTTTAAAGTTCTGATGCTGGCCTATAAAGCTCTGAATGGTTTAGGACCAAAATACATCAGTGACCTCCTGACCCAGTATGAACCTTCCAGATCCCTCAGGTCATCTGGATCCGGTCTTTTATCAGTTCCCAGAGTCGGAACCAGACACGGAGAAGCTGCATTCAGCTTTTATGCTCCTTATATCTGGAACAAACTCCCAGAAAGCCTCAGATCAGCTGAAACACTCAGTTTATTTAAATCCAGGTTGAAGACTCACCTGTTCTCAGCTGCATTTGAATAAAGCACCAAATCCACACTTTAAGCTTAAATTTCAAAACTTACATTTAACTACTGATTTTATCTACTGTTCTGATTTTATCTGTTTTGATTTTATATCCTGTTTTGTTTGTTTGTTTGTTAATCAGTTTGTTTGTTTGTTTGCTTGTTTTAATCAATTTTAAATCATGCTTTTATTTGTTTTTGTTTCTAATGTCTCTGTAAAGCACTTTGAATCACCTTGTTGTTGAGTTGTGCTGTACAAATAAACTTGCCTTGCCTTTAATGGGGTGATATGGTACTATTAGGTCTTTAGGTAAGATAAGGTCTGATTATTCAAGACCTTGTATTTTATGAGAAGGATTTTAAATTGAATTCTGGATTTAACAGGGAGCCAACAAAGAGAAACCATATGAGAGAAATTTGGTTCCTCTTCCTAGTCCCTGTCAGTACTCTTGCTACAGAATATTGTATCAACTGAAGGCTTTTCAGAGAGTTAATAAATCCATGGTCAGATGCAAGTCTACTGCAAGAAACACAGACACAAAAGTACAGCATTGAAGTCACTGCAGTTTCCCCACATATTCACAGCTAATTGTAACACCGGATAGAGAAGCTGCTATTTTGATTAACAACAGAATTAATTTCTCTCACAAAACTACAATCACAGAAAGACCCAGAAAGAAGATGTGTACTCATCAGCATTTATATTGAAAACATTCACCTCACAATTGGTTATTTAATTGACCCCAATAAACATGATTCCTCACTTAATCTACCCAGCACAAAACGGGGGGGGGGGCATGCGCCCTGGCGGCCTGGTTGTGCTGGCTAGTGTCCTTCCTGGTGTTTGGGTTTGTTTGCTGTCACGCAGATCCTCCAGTGTTATGGGGTCCTCTTCCAGCTTGTCTGTGCTATAACGTGATGCCACCAAATCACCTTCACACAAGCAATATTAAATGTCTCGGATTAACATTTCCCCCAAACTGTAAGCGCTGTTTAGCTTCAGTTAAAGTCTGTCATTCAAAGTGGTACAAGATCATTTACATTGTTGGTCAAACTTTCCTATTTTCCTTTACAAACAAAATATTAATCTTTCCTAAAATTAATTATTTTCAGTGGACCTAATTTGTCCAAACATAACCTGGTGCAAATTTCATAATTCGACATTATCAATATTCTTTTTGGAAAAACAAACCTCCCCATATAAAACTCAGCATTACAAAAAAAATCGAAATCTCATCGAGGATTTGAAATCCCCAAATTTGAGTTTTACTAGCTTGCAAATTAGCCCCAAAACATCAATCAGTGCCTTGAAGTAATTAAACAATAATAAACACAAAAAACCAACAGGACAAAACTAAAATCATATGCAAAAGAAAGTTTTCACAGGACTCTGTGAACACAGAAATAAAATAAAAAAAGTAGTAGCCTGGCCCTGTTAATCAAAGGCCTTTTGATTAACTGTTAATCAGCGTTACCAGCATTATTGTCTGGAGCATTCAGGCATGTGTTAACACATTGCCACAATCTTCCCAGGAGTTATAGAAATTCATACTGAGGTCAGTCTGTGCATTTCTCAGAGCTTTAATGGGTTGATACGGTACTATAAGGTCTTTAAATAAGATGGGGCCTGATTATTCAAGCCCTTAAAATTTATGAGAAGGATTTCTCACATGGAGAGAAATGTAACCCTCTTTATGTCTGTTTCTTCAAAAAGTACATGGCAGCACGGCTTAGGTTTGCAAAGTTGCATCTGAACAAACCAGAAAACCTTTGGAACAGTGTCCTTTTGACAGACGATTTCAAAATGGAAATATTTGGTGATAATGCACCACTTTTGACATAACAATCACAGTGTATCAGAACAAACACGTGATACTGTCAAGCACAGTGGTGGAGAGGTGACGATTTCACCATAAACTTCTCTGTGTACCAAAGTGTTCTTGGGTCAAATGTGAGGTCATCTGTTGTTCTCAAGTTTTTCAGGTACAGCACTTTACTGCAATACATGTCTTGTGCTTATTTGTGTCCTAGGACATGCCCAGTGGTCACTACAGTAGTGAGTATGGCTCGAGGGGTGAGGAAAGCATTTAGGGAAAGCTACGTTGACCGCTGTGGACCTTTCGGAGTTCAGCTTTGTACTAAATACAGGTAAGCTGTTTTTCCTCCTGGATTCTCCAACACTAATTCATGAAGTATCTGGCAGCAGTTGCAGTTTTTCCTAATCACAACGTGGTTTAATTTCCTGTCAAAGAAATGAACTTTCAAGGACTTTACTGTCAGCTATTCTTTATGTAATTACTTTTGCACTTAACTGGATTAAATATGCTGTGAAAGTATTTTTAAAGCGTTTCCAATAACGCAATGAAAAGCGAGGCTTGACTGAGTTTAACATGTGCAAATGATTTAACATATGTTAAAGGTTGTGTTAATCCAGTTTGATTAGAATACAATATCACACAGTTGTGTGATTGTGGTTGTGTTTTCAGGATAAACCAGGCACGTGTATACCTGCAGGCCTACAGGGTGGGCTACAAAATCCAGTGTCCACAGGGGAAGAGCAGATAAGCAGCGCTGGATACAGTGAAAGTGGTTTGTCATAAGAAAATGTCATCCTCCAGACAATCTTTTGGTCAACACAGGAAGATAGAAACGGACTGATGTAACATCATATGTAAAGTGCTGAGGGTGTTGCAGCTTCTCTGGGAGAAGTCTTACCTGATTATCAGCCTCTGTGTTGAAATTAAATTACACTTCTGTCATAAAGAAGGTTTATAATGTCTGTGAAATCATGTCAGCGATTGAATAAAAATGAGTTCACATCAACAAATATTTGAAGATTTCAAGCACGTAGATGTTCGAACGGGACAGTTTTTCTGTAGTCATCTCAGAGTAGATCTCATGACAGCAGCAGTTTTATTGTAAGCCATGTTATCACTGTAGTACTGATAATCAACCTTTTATGAAATAAGCACAAGTTCAGTGTTTGAAATTCCTGTAAAACATTAATCAGCTTGAACGTATATTCAAACGAACCCAGTCACCTCCATGGATCGGTCACTACTCAGATAGCTAACATCCAGCCAGTTTTTTTTGTTTTGAGCTCTACTCATGTTTTTTTTTAATCTAGATTAACAATGATAGCAACATAAAAAATGCCTAAAGTGACAAATTCAAAATAAACTATTGCCTATATTACTGCTCCTTCTTTTGACAAAGGAAAGCATGTGTTTTATACTCCTAACTGATCAAAACTCCTAAAAAAATAATTAAATTAATGATTTTATTGGGATATTTGTGAAGTGTAGCAGAGGAGAGTGGAAAGTGGGGAGACGGCATAAACCCAGACGAGGAGTTCACCATTAACCTCTGTGTGTACCAAAGTATTTTAGAGTCAAATGTGAGGCTATCTGTCTGACAGATAAAGCTTGGCAGAAACTGGGTCATGCAACAGGACACTAATCTATAACAGAATGGCTATAAAAGGAAAGAATCAAGGTGTTGCAATGGCCTGGTCGATGTTAAGACCTGAACTTGACTGAATTGCGGGGGCAGGACAGATCTATGCGTAAATGAATCCCTGCAAACTGAACTGAAGCAACACGGCTGGCCTCTGAGTGCTTTGACTGACAGCTGGGTCATCACAGACCCTCATGGTTGATTGCCACCTGCTAAGCTCGACCCTGCGAATATTGAACTGGACCTATCGACTGTGGTCTTGGTGCCTTTTAGTGTCTATTAGGGCAAGTAATAAGGCCTTCTGCAAGGAACAGCTCATCCAAGAAGTCTGTGCTCTATTCTGTTCCATGTAGATTCAGATTCAGTTTGCTAACAAAAGCAAGCTGAAGCTGCTTTAAATATGGTATGGCACTAAATATGGCACTAAATATGGCACTAAATATGGTCAATGTTTGTGTGGGTTTTTTTTTAAAATATATTTTTATTATATTTTTATATTTGATCAAATCTTACAAAAATCTTGCAAAAAAACAAACAAACAAAAAAAGATTTGTTTTGAAAGTTTACATACAGATGCAAGTGATGATTATTGAAATATTCCATTAAAAGTAGTTAACATTTGACATTATCCACAAGAACTTTAACTGGATCGGCATTTGTGAGAGCATTTATGAATTTATCAAGGACTCTTTCTATGCAACAGAAAAGAATAGAATAGAATGCCTTTTATTGTCACTATACATACACATGTGCAATGAGATTCAGAGCAACTCCTACCCAGTACAGACATGTAGGGAAAAAAAAGAGGGGGGAAGGTGCACAGTTCTGCAGCACTATATAGACATCAACCGTTTCTGTGGCGCTATATACAAATATTAAAGAAATAAATAGGGTTATGTATTTACAGTGTGGGGTATTGCATGTGAATTAAATATTGCACAGTAATGATGGTAGTTTGCATAGTCTGTGTATAGAGGGAAGTCCTTGGGGGGTGAAACTGTTTTGTCAGTGCATGTGTGAGTTGAGGGCGGTTATTGCTTTAGGAAAGAAACTGTACTTGAGTCTGTCAGTGTTTCTCTTCAGCACTGTAGCCAGGCTGAAAAAAGTCAGAGCTCTGTTGAGCCAACCATCCCTTTAACGTTAGCTAGTAATGACTTCATGAACTTCACAAATAAAATTTTAATCATTAGAGAAAGAATTACCAATAATGATCCCACAGATGTAATATTATCTACAGCTACTCTTAGTACCATTGATGTTAAGTTACACTGTTATTATTTTACATTAATTATTATAAATATAAATATTATTATTGTTATTGTTGTTAACCCCCCCCCCCCAAAAAAAATCTTATTATAATAATAATCAAATGAAATTGCTTGTTAATTTACTTGTTGTTTTTCCTGCCATCACAAACTTAATCAACTGCCTGTAAATCCCTGCACTCAGAAGACTCCTGCTATTTTCTTAAGTGATTTTCACCATTTTCATGAAGAGTGTGGTTTTATTTCATGCAGATGCGATTTTTACAGATTTTTACAGACAGTTTCATTAACTTTATAATTTGCTTTATAATAAGCAATTTCTTGATGCATGTAAATTATGGGTTAGTATTTCCATTCTAAGTAGAATAAATTATCTTTACCAAGTCAATAAACACAATTCATGATGTGAAACTGGAATTTAACATTACAAAAAAACAAAAAAGAATGGTGCATTTTCTCTTTTTTAGCACTTTAATTGGAACTTTAATACCTGATGTTCTTTTTAGATCAGGCCAGTCATCACCACTGTGCCATGTAGACTCATTTTGGTGAGTTTGATCATTTGGCTTAGTTCAGGACAGACTACCTCTTTCCAATCTGCTACACTGATATCTGGAATACCCATTCTCTCTGTTTGGAAGTTAAAATAGCAAGTTCTTAATATAATATGCAGTCATGAGCAACAGACTTGTGAAATCCTGGGAAATATCAGATCCAATCACAGAAAAAAGACTGAAACCATCGTGCAAATACAGTTACGCTAAATGAATACTGAGTTGGGAGAAACGTTTTGTTGCTCGTCCAAGTGACTTCTTCAGTCACTTGGATAAGTGACAAAACTGAAAATGCTTCTTCCAGATAAACAGAATCAACTTTTGGGATTACCTGGATGACTGAGGATGCATCAAGACACGAATACTGAGGTTCTACAGTAAAGCAGAGAAAACAAATTGTGTATGCAGGAGGCAATTTCAGTCTTTGTGGGATCACTTCTTGGAAGTTCCATAATTCCTAAATAAAATGACCTATAATATTTGAAAAATGGATCCTAAAAATATTTATTCCCATTTACAGCAGGAATTATAATTGGTTGTACGGTGTGACTAAAGTAGGATGAAGTGTAAAGTTGTAATCATCAGACATATCGTGTATAGTTTCAAACACCATCTTATTACTTCAACTTAAAAGATCTGGCATAACCCATCTTTGTCAGGGTTTTCTTTCTATATGAGATCCTATTGTACATTAGGATCCACAGTCATGATTTTGGTGTGATGATCATGTAAAGAGGCTAGATGCTGTCATGCTGCTACAGCATCTGTTATTTCATAAGTGGACCATAATATCCTTACAGAAAATGGATCGATTAATGTTACTTGAAGGCTTTCTTTCCTCTCTCCACTGGTTTTGGCAAGAGTTTAAATTACCAGCTATCTGACTGATAGTGTTTGTTTGCTTGGGTTTGGTGGTGATCGACATATGGCTCACTCAGTCCCCTGACAAGTACACTTAGGTCAGTAAGTTTTTGGATATTGACACTACAATGTCCTCTGCACATCACCACAGTAGTGCTGGGTGATATGACGATATATATCTTGTGGACGATAGAAAAGTGTCTATCGTGCCATTTGTCTTCTATCGTTTCTAACCTAATTTTATAAATTATGACATAAAATATATCATTAACCCTTTAAAACTGGTCGGAGCAGGCACGCTCCGTTTTGCCTAACTATTTTTAAATCCCTGTAGAACTGGAACCACGTAAGCTAGCGCAATAATTTTTTTTGCATATTAAACCGGAGGAGTTGTACTTACGTCTTATGCCATTAGCTTGTCCTAGGTCACGGGTTACTTGCACATATAGCTTTGCAAAAATTGCATAAAAAAATGCTTGCAGCAACAAAAACATAATATTCCAGAAACACGCTTTGCTGATCCGATCAGCTGTTCATAACACTTCCTACGTTGGAATATAGGTCAGCGCGAACTATCGCATGTCCGCCATTATCTGCCCGAAACCGGAAGTGACGTCGTTTGCGCGGAAAATGTAATTTTTTTACCTTCAGGGCCTTATAAGCCTATGCTGGTGTTTTTAAAAGTTATGTTTGACTTCATGCTTTTCTGTATCGTTTCTGGGATGCTTAGAACTCAAATCACACTGTTGGAAATAGTTTATTTTGATGCACATGCTTTTTCATTGCAGCAAGCTGGGAAAAGTCTTGAGTTTGCATTGAGCCTGGGGGCTTGTGTGTATACAACATGTATACATCAAAAAGGCTCAGCTTCAGCCTTCAAGATTAACCAGTAACAAGATGGCTACACGTTGCACGCAACAAACATACTTAGCTTCAGTTGGAGCAGGTAGATTTACTTAAAGATGAAAATAAACACCACCGATGTCAAACATCAAAGCTATACTACACATGGACTCTTTTTCCTGTGTTCTCAATAAATCTAATACAGTTTTTAAGAAGTGAATTGGAGTCAATTGGAGACAAATAACCTTGAGCATGTTCCTAATTCATTCATTCATAATAAATTAGTACTTACTTTGTATGTTTATAATTATGTTCTGTTTACCAGAACAAATACTAGCGTATTTGTACTACTACTATAATACTACTACTAACTCAGGTGAGTTCAGTTAACTGGTGAGTGTTAAATTGAATGGCATTCATCAGCTTGTGTCTTTCTAGAGCTTTTTCTTATTGACCGCTCTTCCACTAAAAGCAAAATTCCTCCATTGATACTCACATTCATACTGTGCCTTTTACTCTGTGCTGTCTGCTAGCATACTATTAGCAGCAGACAGCTGAGGACACAAAAGCCTCGCGCTCCATGAATTACAGTTTGGTTTTTGATTTAACTAAGAGAGCTTTGAGAATTTGCACTAAAGTGCAGATAACAAAGAAGGTACCAGAATGATGACTTAGTTTTGTCCGATGTACTGAGGACAGTGTGTTTTAGAGAGTTAGTATTTTAATTTACATTGTGTTATAAAATCCAGTTAAATTAGTACAAGCTAAGAAAAAAACAAGCTGAAGTTGGAGGTACAGCAGACGTTTTGTTGTTGTTGTTGATTTTCACGATGCTCAATAGCGGAAAGTAAAAATAACATTGGCTTACGCATAATATTTATGTACTCCTTCACTGTTTTTCTTGTATATCACTTGTACAAGATTACATTTTTGCATTTTAGATGCAAATATTTTATCTTTTTTTAAATCTTTTTTTTCTTTTGATCATTTTTGTTTGATATTTTTGATGGGACTCTTATCTACTCTCATCCAAAGATGGGTGTACCATGAGGAGTAGTGTGTATCAGTTCAGTCCAGCTCCAGGTGCTATAAAAAACTATTATTAATTGCAGTTATATCTTTAATGACCTGGATTTCTTGTTACTGTGTAATATAGATGAAAATCTACCCCCAGTCTTAGACAGGCAAATAAAAAAGTGTACTAATGAATACA